AGCAGGCTAACATTTCAGGAGTGCAGATGTTCGAGGGCATATTTGGCTGTAGGCGTGTTCATCTTGCCACCCAGCAGACCAGCCACTCTCTAGGGGGCTTGGGTGTCGATTTCGTATGGCTTCATGATGGACCCCTTGCAAAACGACGCCTTCAGGAACCTGAGATCTGGCTGAGCCTGGAGAGGCTCATACTGTGCCGGTTCAGCTACTGCTCGCAGCTCCAAGATTGCGCTTCAGGAGACGACATCCCGAACCCCTCTAAGCCCGCCCAAACCTGAACCATCCCATACCCTACACCCTAAACTCTAAACCCTACACACTAAACCCTAAACCCTACACCCCAAACCCTAAACCCTAAACCCTAAACCCTAAACCCCTTTAGGGTTGACAGCTCGAGGGGCCGATGCTCTTCAGCATTGCCTGGAGGCAGTTCCAGCTCTCCACGCCGACGTGGAAGTCCTCAGTTGGCGCGGCCATGCTCCGGTTTTAGTGGTTTTAGTGGTTTAGCTACTACTCAGAACCCACCAAGAAGATGCTTGAAAAACGTCTTCCTTGCAAGGGCCATATAGAGATTACTATCTTTTATTCTTTGGGGGGTTCTTCAGCAAGTAGATAGTAGCTTAAGCTGGCACAGGGCCGAGACAAAAAATTCCGACACCAGGTGGATGACGTCGTGAAGCTCGGAATGCGTGGTTTTGGTAGGGCTGGGCTACCAAGCTGAAGCAAGCCAAGACCCAAAACAAAAAACGACAAAAACACAGCAACAAAAACAACAAAAAAAAGCCAAATGACACGAGGATATACCAGGACAACCCAACCCAGGCATATGGAGGCAAGCCTCGCTGGCCTCTAAGAGGCTGCAGCACCAGCAGTCCAGGCTCTTGTCCATGCCCAACCTAAGTTGTGAGGGATGGAAATCACCAGGGCTTGGGGAAGGCTGAGGGTGGCTGTCAGGGTTCGGAGTATGAGGGCTTACAACCGGCGGCCCCCTTTACGCACGTTCGCAGATACACACACCTAGACCGTCCTCAGAATACTGTTCAAAGAAATCCCATGCCCTCACGCGACTGAAACCGCCATCGTGTGCGAAGCTCATGACATCAATCTCTTGAACACTCTCAGAGAGCAGCCAGGGTGCAGAAAGTGTGACTGCACATAGGCCACAATCACGACCACGGCGCTTGCCATACAAAAGCTCAAGACCGAGAGAGCCTCAGCAGCACGGGCTAGTAGGCCTTACAATCCCCTAACCCACCCTTTTAAAAGCCTTTCTAAGGGGTTTTAGGGGATAATAGCCCATTTAGGTAGCTGCAGCTCTACGTTTGTTGAGATTAATCGTCTCCCATGCTTAGACGGGCCGCCGCCATCACATAGCGCAAGATCTTGATATCCTGCAAGGCCAGTGGGAGGCCTACATCCGCCCTGAGCCCTTACCAAGGCCATGGGTTTAGGGTGATTTCTGGGCCCCCTTCCAGACTCTACATCCGATGGTGTTCGCCTTCTCGTGCAAGGCATCAACAAGATTCCAGAAGTTAGACCAGTGCGCCCCAACCTATGTACAGGGTTTGAGATGTTTCATCAAAAGCTACAAACTTTCGTAGTCTTATACTCAGCAAGAGATGAAATGTCAGGTGCAACTATGTAACCAACTTTCCTGAGCCCGAGATTTGGTAGGTTCCCTTAGTCAGGGTCCTTTTTTGGGGATATGTAAGCCTAAACAATAGCGCCCATGTGAATACCGGGCCTTGACGGCCTTGATTTCGGGAATCTGCGATGTTTCTAAAGGGTTCAGGGTTTAGGTTTAAGAGTTGCACGTTGCAAACAACATAACAGGTTTGCCTGAAGGCCTCCATTAGTGTGAGCACGGCACTTTGCTCAGCACAACAAATCTCATACTGCCATTTGAAGGAAGCCCCGACCACTATAGTCTTTGGCAGCCGGCCCCGCAGAAGCACGGGGCTTGATCAGAATGCAGTTGCTACCGTGCGAGGTTTGGGCCTGATGGTTCAGGGCTTAAAGTTTCAGAGGTTGAAGTCTTTGTTTAGGGTGGTCTGGGGCTGTCGAGGGCGAAATGCTTGATGAGAGGGCTCAGGGCTGTGGAGTGACATGGGGGTTCTGAAAATATGGGTATCTTACGGGGGTCCTTACTATGAGGGGATCCTAAATCCTAATAATTTGGGGTTGGGGGGCCCAATATTTTCGTAAACCCCCACATCGGGCTCCTCGTTGTTCTTATAGACCACGCCATCCTGGGCTTTCCTGAGCGAGGTTTGGGCTTACCGGCGCTCGGCCCAGATGCCACAACATGCCACCACCCAAAGCAGGTGCTAAGGCGCGAACCTGGGTTTGAGCACCGGGGGCGGGGGGTGGGGGGCAGGCCCAAGACCAACGCAGAAGCCGCCAACTCGGAGTTTACATGGTTGCTCGAGAGGGATTGCTTCCTCAAAACCTGAGATTCGACGTCCTCCATGGGTTCTGTGTACGTCAAACTTGTTTTTTTAGGATGGGGACTGGCCTCATGAGCCCCTAAAGGCAATACATGTGTTCATACATCCAAGTAAACCTATGCAAGACCACCCCCCCTATTCCCCCTTACACCCTTAGCCCTAAACCCTAAACTTAAACCCTTTTCTTTGAACCCAGACTCTGTAAGGCAGCTGGCACGATGACATTTGCATCGTTTACATGCTAGAAAGTAAGTGCAGCCAAGACAGAAAGTCAGCAAGCAACCTCAACGAAGATCTGCAATATGCTGGGGCCTCACAAGCACCCTTGCTGCACAGAGGGGCATCGTACGAGGGAGCTCTAAGACACTGTAAGTTCGCCAAGCACACCGAGCATAGATGATTCCTCCCTCGGACGTTTGCATTCTCAAGCGGCGTTCTTCACGTCTACTCTGCTTTACCGCCATCCTTGTTGCTCGATGTTGCTGAAGTCTCAAGTACTGGAAGGGTACGAGTGTCACCAAGACCACGGTCATCAAGATCTCGCAAGGAAGTCAAGGTTGAGGCGCCTTGCGTCAGTGCTCGAGAGTGCCTGTCCGTCTCAAATCCATCAGAGGAGGAACCGTTCACAGACACCACTGCTGGCCTGGAACCGTCAAACAGGGAGCCTTCACCTGTTCCAGCTTCGAATCTGTTGAGTAGAGCCGTCAAATCTCGAAAACGCCCCACTTGCTCTTCTGCCGGATCTTGCATTGGGCACATGATGGTCTCATACTGATGCCTGGTAATCACCTCATCTTCTGTTTGAACGTTCGCATCACGTGTGCATTCCTGCATCTCCGCTGGGCATCAAGAATCTAAAGCCGGACGTGTGGAACATAAACACTCCGAAAGACGGAGAGTCACACAGGGAGGCCTCTGACGTGCAGCATCGCTTGTTCTGCCATCATTTCTGTCTGAAGTAACCACGCCATGAAGAGCAGCTTGCAAGTGGTGGCATACCTCAGGCGACAGCATGGACGTCTGAGCATGCCGTAGTGAATAAGCAATGCAGGATGCCAGCTTCTTGGAAGTCAAATCCATGGCGCGGCAAGGGCAATAAATTCACTCATGCACTGCCCGATCGGGCCTCGCAGCGGTATTAGCTCGAGCCAAGTGGCTTGAGCCGTTATCCTTAAACCGTAAACCCTAACCCTAAACCCAAAACCCAAAACCCTAAGCATACATTCCGTTGCAGGAGGGAAGCCACTCTTCCAGCGCGTGTGACAGCGCAAAGGTCGTCATGAGCAGCACCCAGACCTGGCTCCAAGCTTTGTGGAACTTTGGAGGGTTTCGGCTCTCGCACTCGCACAAGGCAGGCAAGGACTCGTACTTTGGAGGGTTTAGGGTTTAGGGTTTCGGGTTTAGGGTTGAGGTTGAGGGCTCTTTTGCCACCTGCCAAGCAGCCTCACACCACACCGCAGGGTTGCAAAGAGTGTCGCGGCTGGTCTACAGTCGATTGGCGAGAAGATGATTGAGCAGTCTTACTATTGCTAGTCGTGTTTTGTTATTGTGATATTGTTATACTTTTTATATCATGGTATTAAATATTCTTAGATTATGTGTGTTACTATTATATGGCTCCATGAAGCTCCATGGCTTCAGTGTACACTGCGACCTACAGTTAAGACCTTGGGGGGGGTTTAGCTGCACCTGACTTATGGGGTTCTTAAGGGAGCCTTAGGCTTAGGGAGTAGTGGGGAGTGTTAGGGAACCTTGGGTTTCATACCCCCTTGAAGCCCCCCCCCCCCCACCCCCCCCTAAGAACCCTGTAACGTATGTGACTGCCAAGATGCCACGACCATTCTGCTTGCTTCGCGTGCAGAGAGCCGTTTCCAGGTCATGCTGCATTGCCCCACAAACCTCTGCAAAGGGCGTTCCGGTGTCATGCTTCAACCAATTTCCTCGAATCTCCTCGTATTAACGTATAATGGATCTCATGAACCCGATATTTTCACACCTTGCCCAGGGTTTCATGTAAGCAGAAACTGAGACATAATTCTCTCTGATGGAAATTCTGCAGAAGAACTATCCCAAGGGAGCCTACCAGCGGTTTAGGGTTTAATTAGGGTGCTGTCGGGGCTTGGGGGTCGTGAGGTCTCTCTAAGCGATATGCCAGGCAACAAATGGAGATTAGACATGGCCGCCGACAGATCCCCGGACCTTGGCTCTTCAGGCATTGGCAGTTCCGCGCGTCTTTGAAGGGGCCACATCTGGGAGGAAGTTCCTTCCTGTGCCATAACAGAGGGGTTGGGTTTCCAGGATATGTTGGTTGGTTCCTTGTGTAGGGCTATGTACACTAAGTAAGTATAGGCTATGGAGTTCTTTCGCGAAGGCTTCAAGGCGGCGCGCGACGCAGTAGGACCCTTCTCACTTTTGCATGCAGACGTTGCAAGACTTTTCAAATCCAGTCTTGAGCCTTAGAATCTTAAACTCCAAACCCTAAAGGGTTTAGGGTTTAAGGTTTAGGGTTGCATGATTTTGGGGGGAGACCCGGCCCGGAATCCTTGGAGCAACTATGCCCACCAAGGCTCGTCAGCGCGCGACGAAGGAGGTAGATGCAAACAGCTGCACTCAAGCCTGAAATTGGGTTGTTAAGGCTTTTTGGGCACGCATAGCTGGACGAACCACTCCGCAAGGCTTCTGGTACGACGGTTTAGTTTAGGGTTTAGGATGTAGGGTTTAGCAAAATAGCGGACCCCTGAAATAGACACCCAAATAGCAGGAGACCCCAATAAGGTACCCCTGATATCGCAAACCCCCATCTAGGGTTTAGGATTTAGAGTTTATGGTTAGGACTTAGGGTTGGTCTTTTTGTTCTTTCAGGAGGGATTCGGGTTTCTTAGCGACACAGGGTGGCTTTGCTTGTAAGGTTTAGGATTGGGATCTCCGGTGTCATCCCGAGTCATGCTTTGTGAACTGTGCCCTGTTGACTGTTGACCTGCCTCACATGTGCATGTGCTTGACCGCTCACAGGCTTGTGAAGAGAGAGCATGGATGTTTTGGCATGCGGCGTTGGACACGGGCTAGATAAAGAATTACGAATCGCATTCCCTGATGGTCCCTGGGTAATTCTACTATACTACAGTAGCCCCCCAAAGCCCTATTCTAATCTTTATGGCCCCTATAGAGTCCCATAGTATCCCCATCCTTAATCCGTGAAAGAGTACAAGAGTACAGGCCACGGCCGCCGAGCAGCCGTAGAGCACGCTCGCCGTGAGTGCGAAGCTGTACCCGACGCTTTCAACGTAGCCCAGGACCTTCAGTGCCACCATCACACCTCAGCCACTTGTTTTGGGGGGCCGTACAGATCGGAACAGTGTTTCGGGGTTTGTTATAGTATCTCTTTATAAAGGAACCATAAGGGAATACTCTTCGCAATTATTCCGACACGTAGATGAGTCACCTACAATCCTAGCTCCCTGGCCCAAAACCCTAACCCTTTTGGGGGTGGAACACAGGGTCGTCAGAGTAGGCAGGCATCCCCGTGAGGTCTGCTGTATTAGCAGCTAGATAGACACCATCAGAAGCAGCTAGGGTTCTGTATGTGACAGATTTGGCATATGACATACAGTTTCTTGAATTCGACAGCGCAAAGGAATACTAAACATCTTGAATAAACAAGCTGAAATTAGATAAACGGGTTATTATATGAATACATATATACATATATACATATATATATATATATGTGTGTGTGTGTGTGTCTGCTGTGTGTAAAAATGTTTCTATATATATAAATATATATACACCACCATCGAGTACCAGATAGTCCATAGATTCATAAAGAATGCTATGTTCTATACGATGTATTGAGCATACGCGCAATGTATTTAAAGTACATACGTACCTACCTACCTGCCTACATACGTACACACATGAAGACAAATATACGCACATGCGTCTATTTCTAAGCTCGTATTCTATATTACAATAAGCATTAACAAAAGCATAAGACATTAACAAGCACCCTGAACATACCCTGAACCCGGGGCCGATACCAGTCTCCGCGAAGGCAAAAATGACCTTCGGAGGCTGTTGTCGGGGGTTGGGGTTAGCTCTTAATTGCTCTTAATTGAGGCTTTGAGGGTTTGGGTGGTTTTAGTTTTGGGGTTTGGGGGGCTTTGGCGTACGGGCTAGTCAGACTTCTAAATATTCAACTGGCAGAATGGACTCGTGTAAGACACAGCACAGCCACTTTGGCATGCGGATGCCGCCTCCCTTGACACAGAGGCCCACGACAAGCCTACGTACAAGTCTTTGCTTTGCATCGGTCGTTGGCCTCAGCAGGGTTTCGGGCTTACGGATTGTAACGCTTAGCGGTTTAGGGTTAAGTTGATTTTTGCATAGGCATAAGATAACATGATAACATTATTAATATGTAAGAACATTAAGGTCATAAGCTCGTCAAACATATAATCGTAAAACAAAAACCGTAAACTAAATTCCGGTCAGAAAAGGAAGATAAAAATAAATAGTGTTGTAAACCATGAAGTGTACAAAAACTCTAGAACTCCTAGCAGAGCATAGAAAAAGCAGCTTAACGTAGAAGAATGTTTAACAATATAATTCAAGATCGTCATACACAACTATGATATAGCGATCTAATGATGTAATAATGTAATAATTTAGGTTTCATTATATAAACCATTGAGCTGCCCCAGCAATGTCCAAGTTTTCCTGCAGGGCTCTTTGGCCGTGCAGTTCTCTGAATGATGGTCCCTCGGGGAACTCGAGGATTGAAGGCTCCGATTTAGGATGGTTTTGGCTCTAGTTCTAGGCGCTAGGGCTGAGTCCCCAAATCCCCTGACTCCGAACCACAACCTCCAAGCCAACGACCGCACATTGCAACCTCGGCCCCAGAAGTCGGGCGGCGAAAAGTGCATAAAGTACACGGGGGAAGTTCAGCGCAAGCCAACATCCCAAGTCCTGGTCACAAGCGTGTGGGGCCTGCTAAGGTCATTCTCTTCAAGAGGTTTAGGCCCGAACGGAAAAGCCTACTCCTCTGTGATGAAGAGCAGGTGTCAAACGAAGGGTCTGGGCGTGTGAGTTCAATCCGATGCCCTCCTACGGTCAGGGTTCGGTGAGGATCGCTGCTCCAAAAAATCCCATCTGGTGCCTGCATTCAGGATTCGCGAATCAATGAGACTAGGACTCTTTTTTGATTCCATGCTTGACCAGAACTTGCCATTTGCTAGTGTTGCTGTTCTTTCTTTTTGAGAGGATGGGACGGTGGGGGCACTATGGGCACTCAAGCCATACCTAACACAAGACCACCATCGTGCGCAAGCTCTTACTGGAAGCAGCTGCACATGGGAGCTGACCTAAATTACCGACCCTGTTGGCACCATAAACTCCTATGAGCCGTGAGCACTATATCATGTGCATTGCATCACCATCAACTCCCTCATGTTAGTGCTGAGGAGGGGTAGGTCGGGCAGCACATCGTGACAACACGTGTGCCTGTTGCTGCCAGCCCGCACTACTGCTCTGGCAAGCGTGGCCTGAACCCTAAATCCCTTTGGCCAAACTCACGTGGGAGTTTACGAAAAGAAGGGACCCCTACTATAGACCCCAAACAGCAGGATGCCCTTGTAATCGGGACCCCAATAAGCTCCCCCTATTTTCGGAAACCCCCACCTCCTCCAGTGGAGGCGTATCCGCCACGGTTGCGGTATTGAACTTGTCGATGATGAAGGCCTACAGCGCAGCAGGCAAGAGAACGCACACAGATGCGCACGGTAGATGCTGCAAGGGTTGCGGAATCTATCACTGCTGCAGATTGCCATCAAAGGCCAAGACAACCCCCGAAGATCTGCAAACAAAGCATGTGGAGTGACATGTGACATTTACAAGAAATGCACCAATCGAGATCGTCGAAAGCTGAACCTTGAAACCTAATCCACAGACCTTTAGCGTCTCTTGGGCGCTCTCTATGAAGGGGCGTTCAGGATTTACAAGGGCAAAGGCTTATTTCAAAAGGGGCCCATCCAAAGAAAGTTGAAGTAGAAAGCAGCTGTTGACTCAACGCTTTTGGCAGGATTTGAATCGCATCTGACGGCCTGCGAATGGTGTGTCAAACTCATCATCGTCACGTCATTGCCCTGGTTAGGCGTGGCGCCGCCAGATAGCCTGCCGCCAGACAGCCTGCTTGGGTCTGCGGTACCGACAGTTCAAGACGAGCAAACGATATAGTTCTAATGCTACACGTACATGTATATATACATAATATATATATATATATAGATAGATATAGATATATACATACATAGAGAGTGAGAGAGAGACACATCCATCTTTGCATATGTGTGCCTGTCTGTATCCAGTTACGTACATATGAATGTGTGGGCTCTTCAAAGGTTCGGAACGCACCAGACCTCAACCCCAGTGTCAAAACCCAAGGGCCAAACGAACGGCGCTGAAAACAACAAGCTACAGAAACCCACGGAACTTGATTCTTGGGGATTCTTTTCTTGCCACCCGCCTAGCTGACTGATTCTTAGGGTTTCGGGTTTAGGGTCATGTGTTGGGCATGGTCTTTGCCAAACGCAGGCCAGCCCGAAAGCGTTCATCCCTTCTCCCGAAGTCTGAATCCCAACAACTACAGACCGTCAGGAGCAACCCTGAAAGAAAACAAGGGCACCCGGATATACATACATACATATATAATATATGCTTTCCCCAAATGATCTAGTTTGGAAAGCCTTTCGGGCCCAGAAAAGTGACCTTCAGACCTAATTCGAAATTTATATTAAACGGCCACACCCTTAGAGAGATCTTCCTCTGAGAAATCCTCTGGCCTCATTCGTAATACAATTTATTTAGCAATCTAAATTTGCCTATTTAAAGCCGCACCCTATGAGATCCTCTTCTGGGGCCTGCCTGCCCGTAACAAACTCGCATAAGAACTTTATATGCAGAGGTTACAGCCTCAGAAATCCTCATCTGGTCTTCCTTCTTAGTTTATTGAAGGAACTGCTTTGACAGAAGAAGCCCACACCCTAAGAAAGAGGATTTCTATACTTAACGGCCACACCCTATGAAATCCTCTTCTGCGGCCTCTTCATGATTTTTTGATAGACTTGTGTATGATAAAGCCACAGCTTCGTTCGTAATTAAGCCCACGTACAACAAACATATTCAGAGACCCCGCCCCAAGAAATCCTCTTCTAAGCCTCATTCGTTACTACCTATTTGGAATTTTATATTTCCGACCACACCCTATGAAATTCTCCTCTGGCCCCCATTCCTAATGAAACGTAACTTGATTTTGTATTGTAAACCCACACCCTAAAAGAATCCTCCTCTGGGCTTCGTTCGTAATTGACCCCAAGCAAGCAAGTGTATATTAAGAGGCGAGCCCCCAAGACATCCTCTTCTAAGCCTCATTCGTACTTAAACCGAGTTAGAATTTCATAATGCAGACCACACCCTATGAAGTCCCTTCTGGCCCCTATTCATAATGAAGTTTACAAAGCCACACCCTAAAAAATCCTCAACAGAGCGTCGTTTGTCATTGCTTTGCCTAGATGCTGGGACCTGGAACAGAATCTCATAAGAACTTTATAATTTTAGACAAGAAACCCACACCCTAAGAAGTTCTCATCTAGGCTTCGTTCATAGGTAACTGTTGGACAGAATTTTAATAGAGGCCACGCCCCAAGAGATCATCTTATGAGCCCTCATCCATATTTAAATGTACTTCGAATTCTATATTCAACGGCCACACCCTATGACATACTCTTCTGAGGCCTCTTTATGAAATGCCAATAGACTTGCGTACGATGAAGCCACAGCTTCGTTCGTAATTAAACCCAAGCGCAACAAACACATTAAGAGACCCCGCCCCAAGACATCCTCTTCTAAGCCTCATTCGTTACATGGAATTCTCCTTTGGCCCCGCTTCGTAATGAAATGTAATGTGGGGTTTGTATAAAAGCACCACACCCCAAGAAATCCTCATCTGGACTTCGTTTGTAATTCCACTTAAAAAGAATTTTGAGCCGCACCCCAAGTCATCCTCTTCTAAGCCCCACTCATACTTAAGTCTAACTGGACTTTTGAATTGCAAGGCCACACACCGTCAGAAACACACCCTGAGAATCCTCATCTGGGCTGCGTTAGTTACTTTTGATACTACTTTCTAGATTAAGATGCCACATCCCAAGGCATTCTCTTCTAAGCCTCATTCGCAATGAAATCTAATTGGAACTTTACATGTTAACGCCACACATTAAATACCGAATAGTCTGTATCTAAAATAACAAACTGTGTGTGTGTGTGTTTCTCTGTGAGTGTGTGCAAGGAAGTCACATAGAAAAAAGCAACTTCTAGCAAATATATTCTTAAAAAACCACTTTGTTTTGCACATTTTGCCCAAACAAACAAAAAATCAAAAAACTCAAAACCATGAAGTCGCTTTTTGTTGGACATTTTGGTTTTCTCGAGGGTTTTTGGTTTTTTTTGTAAAAAACCGTGTTCTTTTAGATTTTACTCTCCGTGGTGTTGAGAATCCAAAAAACGCGAGGTTCTTTTTTGATTCCGAGAGTTAATGGAATGAGTCAACAAGTGGACGAATGTAATTCATTAAAGGACTGCGCCGTACAGACCCAGCATGTCATTTTAATCAGTATTTACGAGGGTTTTCATAATCATAGGGAAAAAAGAAAAACCTAGATCACGGGGGGTGGACCATACATATATATATATATATACACATATGAATATGACATATATACATATATATATATATATACGTAAAACATAATGTATGAAACCGAATATGCCGCAAACTCCTATGCTAGCCTGATCGGTTGCGACGAGGAGTTCACTGGGCTGACCTCCAGAAGGCCAGGAAGGTTCCTTGCCAAGCACACTTATGTCTTTCAAGGGCTTGAGCGGGGAGAGGGTTTCGAGTTCAGCGAGGATACCCTTCTTTGAACCCGGTCTGAGAGAGCCATGGTACCTGTCAGCGAGGAAGCACTAAACCCTAAACCCCAAACCCTAGAAATCTGGGGTCATGATTTGGGTACAAGTTCCTGGGGGATACCGGGGAGTTCTAGACACTGAAGCATCCACTCAGGCAGAACCTTCCCGAGGCCTGGGGCACCGCCAAAAAAACACAACTACAAGTGGCTCACCTACTTTTCTGCAGAGTCTGGGGCCTGCAGCGTAGAGCTTACAGGGTTCTGCAGCCCTTCTCAGAAGAATCTGAATAGGAAACCTCGGAACCATATGATTCCTCGAAAGGTGCTTGGATGAATGCTTTTTCCAGTCGTGGGACATTCGGCTATCCGCTTTCCGCTGGAGGTCGGGCGAGTCCTCGGCCTGCCAAAGGGGACTTGGGGTGTTTGAGCCCCTTTTAAAGGTGGTTTAGGGTTTAGGGTTAACCCTGTTACCTTGAACCCCCGAAACCCTAAACCCTTTTAGCTTCTAACCCTAAACCTCTGTTTCTGAACCCGGTCTCTGTTTGGATGCAAGGCCCGGGGGTGTTGCCTTGAAACTCATCTGCAAGTAGCTCCAAGATGACGACACGGCATCGAGCAAAGAACCCTACAATCCCCCCAAAACCCTAAACCCCCCCTCCCCAAAAAAACCTAAGATCCGACCAAAAACCCTAAAATCCCCAAAGCCCTTTTTTGACCCCGCGAGCTCTGCCGGGTTTCACAGCAAACCCCGAAGCCCTAAACCCGTAAAATCCCCCCCCCCCCCCACCCCCCCAACCCCCAAAATCCTGAACTCCTGGCACCTCTGGCTCCTGCGGAGCGGAGAGCTGCTTGGCTGGCACGTCTGACGAGCGGGCGCCGTTGGAGCCTGCCCGGGGTTTGGGGTTTAGGCTTTTTTTTTTTTTGCGACCCGCCAAGCAGTCCAGCCGCACTGCAGGGTTTAGGGTTTAGGGTTTAAGGTTTAGGGCTTGGGTTTAGGGTTTAGGGTTTAGGGTTTAGGGCTACTAAATGTAGGGATGATTACGATGGGTATTTCCCAAAATGGGGGTACCCCCTTTTATACCCCGAAACAGAATAGAATCCATTTAAAGGGACAAGGGTACCCCTGTTTTCGGAAACCGTATAGGTTCCGCCCTGTGTGGTGATGTTTTCTTGGTGTTTTGCGCATGTTTACGAGTGTCGCGGCTTAGGGGGGAGGGTCTGGTTCGGGGCTTAACGCTCTTAGGGTGGGCATGCGCTTCAAGGCTTACACCTGTCGCAAGCACACTTCGATTCGCTCACTCGCACAGGCAGGCGAGGATTCTTTCGGCTGGGTTCCTGATATTGTTGGGGTTTTGATATCGTGTAGCTCGGAATAGTTCAAGAGATGTTTAGGGCTTGGTGACGACGAAGGCACTGTTGAGGTCAAACGTTTGGATGCCCAACGTTTCAAACGCTGATTAATTAGTTTGGGGGACGTCTTGGGCTCCTATCTGTCTGCAGCTGCCAGAAACCAAAAAAAAAAACTGTCTAATGGGGATTTGGCGGAGCTATTAGCTTTTCCGAGATACTTGATTGTGTTCACTGGCATGTCATGATTCATGTGCAGGAACAAACAATCATCCCACGTCTGTGCGCCTGAGAAAGTTAGCTCTAGCTGTCATGCGAAAAGCCGAAGCGTCCAAACACAAACCCCCCAGCCTTCTCCTTGAACTGAGCTTTCCGGTGAGCGTATGTTTCGCCAGGGTCCGCCACTTGGCTTCCTGGGAGCTGGGTCAAGGGCCTGGTTTTGGGACGGCCCCAGAGCTTGGGATGGTGAGCTGGCGCAGTTTATATATATATATATGTATATATATCCCTCTTTTACATTTAGGTATTTATTTACCTATCTTATTTTTTGTGAGCTTTTGATAGGCCTTTTCGGGTTTCCTGCCAGTATCGGACCCTGATAAATTCCTTCGGATCCCTTGTGTCGGATTCATAGGAATTAGAACGGGGATACTATAATCCGTAAGGACGGTTAGTATAAGGGGAACATCCCAACTCCTTCTATTTGATCCATGGCAGGCGCTGAAGCCACAGCCAGCAAAGACATGCCGGCCGATGTGCATCCAGGCAAGCAGCACAAGAATGCCCAAAAGCTTCCGATGCCCACTCGACCCCCGAACCCTATTGCAAACTCCCTAGGCTTGTCGCGCAATTGCCATCCAGCTGCCAGCTCTGCACGACGGCGTGCACGAATGCCTGAAATGCCCGGATTCCAGCTGCACCATCTCTACCCTCCTAGCCTGCCGAGCAACCTAGGAATCAAAGGGATGAGTATCCTTCTCTGATAAAAGAATTGGGGGCCACTGCCCCCTCAAAAAACAAAAGGGCACAGGCAGGTACAGCACATCAAGAATTCAATAGCCCAATCCTGAACTTCATGCGCACATGTAGCGCAGGGAATAGCTCCCAGATGGTAGGCCATTGGGGGACCCCGGTACCCTAAACCCTAAACCCTAAGCAGTTTAAACGCCCAACCATCCCAACTGGCAACTCACTGCCGCGCAGCGGAATTCATCTCCAGCACCGACGGGACCGATGCGATGCTGCTCTGAGACAACTGGGCGGTCGTTGTCGGCTTTGTTCAGGGTCTTTTTGGTTGTTGGGTTTAGGGTTTAGGTTTCAGGGCTGCTTGCATATGCCTACTGCAATGCTTCTGGGGCTTATACACAGGCTCACATGTCGGAAGGCAAAGAAAACATGACACCAATTGCCTAACTAGAATGTGACCGAAGCACTTCAGGGATGTGGTTTTGGAGAGGGGGCTTTCACGGACCTGTGGAAAGAATGCAAAGGACCTAAGTATTGCCCTGAGACTGTCCGCAAAAGGGTTCTAGGGTTCTATGGTAGAAACGGCAGATCTCTCAAGGAAATTCAACACTCAACCGCTTCTGCGCGGGCCAGTTAAGCTTAAGCTTTCCGAAGCCTGCAGCTCGACTGAGGAGACCAAGGGCTCTGCCAAAGCTCGCAGAAGGACACATAATGGCCACCCCCAGCTAGGGTTTAGGGTTTAGGGTTTAGGGTTTGGGGTTTAGGGTTTGAGTTTAGGGTTTAGGGTTTAGGGTTTAGGGGCTTTGGGCCTTAGGGCAGCTGAGTCGGCAGTTGTGTGGTTTAGCTGGGAGGCGAGTCCATGCGGAAAACCCCAATCTTCTAATTGCTCAAGAAGCCCCCCGCCCCCCCAAAAAAAGCTCAAAACATTCTTCCTTATAAGGGCAATATGGGGAGTTTTTTTGTTTTTTGGGGTTCTTAAGCAAATAGTAGCAATGCTCAGAAAAGCCGAATTACCCTTTGACTGGTTCAAGGGAGCGCCCTCCGAGTGTGAACACGAAAACAGATGCTACACCCTGAGCCCTGAGCCATGAACCACACCGCCCCAAACCCTAAACCCTAAACCCTAAACCCTAGACCCTAAGCCCTAAGCCCGAAGCCTGGGAGAGCCCTAAATGCATCGAACATCTATCGCGAGTTCCCTGCGACAGGGCACGCTCCGTCCTCCTCCGGCCGGGCCATTCCGGTCCTTCACTTTCGGTTCTTCTTGGCTTTGGGCGGGTGCAGGGTTTGTAGGGCTTCGACTCTCAGCAGTATTCAGGGCTTACCTACATGGGCTACTCTACCCTAAAACCCCTTAAAAAGGCCCTGAAAAAGGGTTGGTTAGGGGATTATGAGGCCAAATAGCCCGTGCTGGTAAGGCTCCAGACCTGCCCACCTTCCGTAGGGGGCTTTGGAGGACATCGCAAGCCACCCAAACTAAACAAACCCCCCCAAACCTCTTTGCAACATGCTTCTGCTCACTCGTCCTGCGAGCAAGGCCAAACACAGGAGTGACTCACTGACTGACAATGCTGCTCCCGAGCTGACCGTGGCACGAATCGACTCCGCAGACTACGTACCCAGACCCAACCATCACATGCTAGACTGGACAGCCTCCAAAGTGGCAGATCCCTGCTAGAATGCACAAGCAGGCACAAAGAAGCCACCAACGCTGCGGACCACACGCGGGTCAGTGATGTTCCTGGTAACCATTTAGGCTCCTGAATCGTCCCATCTACTATGCAAACATGCTAAGACTCAGCCCAGATACTTTGTGTTGAAGGGGAAATAATTTAGTATGTTCTCAACAGGTGGAAGCCATTTTTCCGCCAGCTTGCTTGCCCCTCTTGCTTGAAGTTTGCTTGATGTAGAGGCTTCTTTCTCCTAAACCCTAAACCCTAAGCCCTAAGCCCTAAACCCTAAATTGCTGAACACTGAAGATGCTGGCCAAGGCTCAAAGGAGCCCCTGCGAATCTCCTGGTACCACGCCGAGGCCAGCCTGTAGGGATGAGGGTCACATCCTTCATTGCGCGCTGTGCCTTATGGCCCCTTTAGGTATTTGGTATCAGCCATTGGGAGGCAACCCTTACAGGCCTGTCATATGAGGGAAGATGTGGTCAAGATGCGGATGCTTTTCAGACATGAACGTTTTAAAGTATGGCCAAAGCGGTACATGTCAATGGCCCAGGGTCTGAGACTCTTAGGACGTCTTAGGACGGGTCACGCCGTGCTGCGGCCGGGCGAACTCGGCCGCCTTGGAATGCGGAACGCATGGGACTTTAGATTGTCTGCAAAGTTTCGGGTTTTAGCAACATTAGAGTTTAGTATTTAGGGATTGGGCTTCGCGGCTCAGAGATTGGGAACGTCGACAAAATCGCTGTAGAAGATACCTCGTTCAAACATCCTTTCCTCCATGCGGGTTTCCGAAATCATTGGGGTCCTTATTATGAGGAAATCCTACTATTTGGAACTCTATATTGGGGCCCTATTTTCGTAAACTCACCCGGGAACTCTCCAAGCTTAGGCACACTAGCCGCCAACCCCAAATTCATCACGGCGCGTGCGGGTATGAGAACACAATGGCCGAAAATCTGTTCACGCATGCGGGTATATATGTATCAAGGGGGTCATACTCGGACCCCTAAGCATGTGCCCCTAAGAGGTTCCCATTCATATACTTCTCATCTGGCCCCCATCTGCCAGGAGCGGTCCCCAAACCCAAGGGTACAACCTCAGGGGTCCCAGGTAGAGTCCCATGAATGTATACGGAAAAGAACAGCTGCTAAAGCTGTTCTAGGCTTCGCAAGCCACAACAAATCACAACAACAAAAGGATTCAACATGTCTTGAACCCTTGCAAAATCGTGTTTGAAGGTCCCATAGAAAACGCGGCACCGCAAGTCTTGTCAGACCATTGTGACAGTTGCGAGGGCTTGCAACAACCACACATGGTCATTTTGAAAAATTGTGTGCGCCCCACACCCCCTCAGAAACCCCCCAAAACTGTACGGCCGAAAGGATTTTAGGCGCCTGCCTTGCACGGGATCATGTGCGGCGCTTGACTTGCGCGCTTCTTCAGCAAACCACAGAAGCCGCCAGAAGCTACTGTGGATTCTTCAGAACCCTGTAACGCCTCATCATATTTCAGTCACCTCAGAAGTGTTCATGGCACACATTTATACGCAGGACTCCTTGCATCACTTCGACTCAGCAACTGATGATTTAGGATGGGGTTCACCCTAAACCCTAAACCCTAAACCCTAAACCCTAAACCCTAAACCCTAAACCCTAAACCCTCAACCAACTGAGCGTGTTGTCACGGCCAGCGGGCGGCGACGCGCTGCCAACCGAAACCAGCGACGCAGCCCTGCTCAGGCGACCTGGCTCGGCGTGGGAGTTCGACTGAACCATAAGGGGGTTTAGGGTTTAGGGTTTAGGGTTTAGGGTTTAGGGTTTCCGAAGTTAGGGGTCCCTTATTGGGGTCCTTATTTTTAAGGGGGTCCTACTATTTGGGGGTTTATATTAGGGGTCCCTTGTTTCCGTAAACCCCCCAAAGGAAGTCATCCAGCCCTCAGCTAGAGCAACCTCCGAATCCAGCCCTGAAGCAATGTGACCTGAAACCACGAGATTTTCATGCACGAATCTGCAATATAGGTCGGCTCAATATTGCGAAACGTCTAGCAGATGTATCCGTGTCAATATGTTTTTAGATTCTAAGAACAAGGTTGGCATGCCATGGGCCTCTTAAGGGCTCGGGGTTGCTACGCACAAGAGGCGCCCAAGAAAATTCTGAGTGTTCCAAGGCCCAGGATTGACTTGGGGGGGGGGGGGGGGGAATCAGGGGCTCCTGGAAGCCCCGAAGCCTTAAACCCGAAAGGGCTGAGCCCTAAACCCCCTTAAGGTAAACATCGGGGCTGCCGCAGGATGGCGAAACCAAAGTCCCAAGGCTTCCGTATCTCATATACCACTATATCTGCTAAAATCGAAGGTAATAATCCCTACATCGCCCTTGTAAGGAAGATATCTTTTTTGTAGTTTTGGGGGGAGCCTAGGTAAATGCCGGCACGATCTCGGAAGCTCTGCAAGTTAACAGGACAACAGACCCATTCGACGAAAGGAGTCCCCTTTTTTTTTTGCCACCCCCTTCTGGGATCTGAACTCTATAGGGTTTAGGGTTCTCCCAGGCCCCATATTTTGTCTTTCTTGGCGGTCTTGTGGGTGTACACAGACGCCCCAGTACCCAAAGGGGAGCCCTTGTAACGCTCAACCCTAACCCTAAGCCCTACACCCGAAGTGTAAGGGAATCTCTTCTCTGAAGCCAAGGAAGGGCTCCTACAGGCTCCCTCAAGGCCCAGGATCTACGACTTAGCAGCTGGGGGAGGGTTCAGGGTTTCCGTTGTTGATTTTTTTGCCACCCGCCTAACTGATGACATTTCGGGAAAATGCTGTTCTCCCTAAGCCCTACACCCTATAAACCCTAAACCACCCAAAAGTTTCAGGGATTCGGGGGGTGGACCTCCGTGCCCCTGAATTAGGCTCCAAGACTCAACGCGCCTGGATCAGGTCTGGGCAAGGCTTTGGCCTGAGGATGCCCCAGGCCCGCCCCAAAAGCCGGGTTCGGGCTTCGAAGCCCTAAACCCTAAACTTTAAACCCTAAACCCTTTTTGAAGCTGGACTTGCTGACTGCCAGCCCGAAACCCTAAACCCTAAACCCCAAACCCCAAACCCCAAACCCCAAACCCCAAACCCTACCATCCAGAATGGCAAATGAGGTTTAGGGGTTCGGAGTTCCCATGAAAACCTCGGGGCTGAACATGCCTCAATTCCACGCCGCACTTGTCGGCTGCGATCGGAGAGCAGATGGTGCCGTACAGATTTATTGTTACTACTGCTACTACTACTATGATGTTTAATAGGCTTTTGTTGTTAGGGTTTTTAGAATTTGTGTTCAGGATTTCAGGATGTCTTTTGTTCGTTTGGGCGTATGAGAGGGATCCTACCCCCAAAAGGGAACGAGGGCGCTCCAGCGGGCGTCCTAGACTTCGATTTCACCCACAATAGCACTCAAGCTGACACACTCAACCCGCAACCATCACAAGATGGAACAGGGCTTTGTTGGGCACCACTCCATTTTTGAGGGCAATGTTGCAGCTTACTCGAGGCAAGCCCTGCAGCCGAGGGTGGGGCGAGGGCTGGCGCGAAGTTCCCTTCCTCCATGCGCCAGTCCTTGGGCTTAGGGAGCCTTTAGGACACTTCAGGGCTTAAGGGCTTTAGGGTTTAGGATTTGGGGGGGGGGGGGGGGGGGCTTTGGGTAGGTGGGTTTGAAGCCTCAGAGCTCCTAAGTGCGCTAGCCAGGGGAGGCCAAAGCCCCCAAAAAGATTGCACCCTGAAGGCCTGATTTTGAGCAGGTGCCTGCCCAGAACCCTATGGGGGTTTCCGAAATCAGGGGCACCTTAGGGAGTCCTACTATTTGGGGATCTATATTTGGATTCCGCCCCTTCTATAGGCCCCTGAGGATCCAAGGCTTCAAAACTTCAGAGGGGAGCATCCACTCAAACGGCGCCATTGCGGCTGAAGGCCGGACGAGTGGACCCCTGTAGGCCACGCAAATCCCTTCGACAATTGGGCAGTTGCCCTGGCTAGACCTGTGACGCGCGCCCAACTAGCCTGCCCAGGGATGCCCACTCGTGAACTTCAGGGATGCAGGATGATGTAGGGCCTTTCAGACTCAGACACAATGAGCTGAAATTTGGTGAAGTTTGGGAGTTAGGGATGTTCCCCCCTTTTACTAAGATTCTCTAATAGGGATTATAGTACCCAAGTAGAAACCCAACTAAGCAGCGGTTAGTATAAGGGGGAACATTGAATTTCTGCTGTTTGAATGCCAAGCAGCAGAGGCCGAGTTGGACTGCAGACTCAAGAGCGACTGATCTGCCTGACTCTCCTCCTCGGAGGGGCTGAAGGGAAAGTGGCCAAGGACATGGAGATTATGGCGTGGAGCCTCGCTCTATCGACTTAAGCTTGTATAAGTTCTAAGGATGCATAAACTAAGAAGTTGGGTGGGGTGCTTAAGCTTGTGGGGATGTTCCTTTCGATGCGCGGATCGTTGCTTGACTGGTCTGCGCTGCCGCTTTCATTCTGACCCTCCTGCCTGCCTGCAGTGGTTCGAGCTATGCACTGTGCCTTAAATTCTGGAACCCTAAACCCTAAACCCCCTTAAACCTTTACGCCCAGGCCCCGCTCAACATTTCAGGAAGCCTGAAGAATACCGCGCTCCCCCAACACAAGCACAGCATGTGCTTAGTGGAACCCGAGATTTTGGCCAAAACAAGTCCCCAAGCCTGAACAACTTAGGGGAACCTAGGCCATCAGTATGCTCTTTCGACTTCGGGAAGTCTACGCAACAATTACAATTACTGCATGTCTCCATTGGAACGTGCAGTAAATATCGATTGCCTTGGGCATCCGACGCGGATTCCAGGTACATTTTCCACGTGTGAGCTTGCAAACCTCCACAATCCATTAATAGCCTTTTTCCGAGCGCAGCCCCACATTCATCAACCGAACGAACTCTTCCGAGCAGCTTGTAAAGGTACCACCGTTCCGTGCATGCTTTCCGGCTCTTAAACGACCAAACCCATTCAGAGGGGTGCCCCACTTTCCATGAGTATCACAATCTGCCAGCTTCCCTTTTTGAACCAAAAAGATCCCTCTTGGGTGTAGGGCTTAGGGGCTTAAACCCTAAACCTTGGGATGTTCACCCTTATACTAACAGTCCTTCATAGGGATTCTATTATAATCCCTATTCAGGACTGTTACTAGAAGGGGGGACATCCCAACCTAAACCCCTGCAAGCGATGCCCCGAGGATGGCAGCCGCGAGGCATTGGTTTTCGCTTTGCTGCGCGGCGACTTGTCAGGAACCGTCAACCTCGGGAGGTGAACGCTGAGTTGGAGGGGGCTCATAGGGTCATAGGGTTTAGGGTTCAGGGTTTGGGGAGTTTAGGGATCTAGAATCTAGATGCACGTTTTTCTGCAGGGCCTCGGCGCGCATCCCTGAAGAACCCAAAGCCCGAGCGGAGCTGATCGGACGCTCGGAAGAGACTCTGGAGCTCAACAATGGTTTAGGGTTTTTGCCTTGGGATGTTCACCCTTCATTCTACTAACAGACCGAAATACGGATTAGAGTACGCCCTAGGATAATCCCTATTAAGAACTGTTCGTAGAAGGGGAAACATCCTAGTTTTTAGCCATTTGCCTTGCAACCTCACCACTGCCGAGATGAAAACGTGCACGCGAGAAAGTCCTTGAGATCTGCCGGTCAACAGATTGCCTTCAGTACCGCGCCTGGCAACTACAGCTCCTCGCTAGACAACAATCGTAGAAACTGCTGACGTTGCCCGAAGATCGAAACATGACCGAAATCTTGGGATGTTCCCCATTATATTAACAGTCCGACTATAGTACCCCTTACTATAATCCCTATGAAGGACTCTTCTACCTATACTATAGTACCCCCTATTCTCACCCCTCTTAAAGGCTCTTACTAGAAGGGAGAACATCCCAAACCGAAATCTGGGACCGGAAGCTGCTGCTGCGACGGGCGCTTCCGCAGCGGTACTGCCACGACCTCCGGTGCTGAGGCGCTCGGGAGCCTCAGGCGCGAATTTTAAAAACAATTGGGCTGTTCCTCCTTATACTAATATAGTCCTTAGGAGGGATTATAATAGGGGGGTACTATAGAAATCTATAGAATCCCTATTAAGGACTGCTAGTAGCTCTTGCCAAGCACTCCTGAGGCGTCACATGCCAATATCACGACCTGGGGGATCCTGGCTGGCAGGAACACAAGACCAAGCTGGGTTTAGGGTTTATAGGGTTTATAGGGTTTATAGGGTTCATAGGGTTCATAGGGTTTATAGGGTTCATAGGGTTTAGGGTTTACAGGGTTTATAGAGTTTATAGGGTTTAGGGTTCAGCTACAGGAGCCCCCCCCAGTCAAAGACAAGCTGAGAAGCCGTTGGGCGAGGTCCTGCAGGAGCTGCTGCTGTTGCTGTGAGAATACCTCCAGGCGGCGGGGGTAGCGATACCTTCTCGGGTGCTTCATCCCCATGAGTGAGGTCTCGGGTTCAAGCAGCCTTAGGTGGGCAGCAATGTGTTCCCAGAAGTGGTACCTCAGGAGGAAGAACTAGAACTGAGGGGCCTAGGCCTTACAAGTTCGCAACCGGCCTCAAACTTTGCAAGCAGCAGATCGAGTTTGTGCTCCACGCCCCCGTCGACGTCTTCCTCCACCCCGCACCCTGATATCTCAACGTCTCTCAACTCTCTCTCTCTCTCTCTCTCTCTCTCCCACACGCATAACCCCCCCGAAGGGAGGCTACCCCCAAGTCTCTCTCTCTCTCTCTCGCTCCTCTGTGCTCAGGTCCCTAGGCCCTAAACCCTAAACCCTAAAGGTCTCCTAGACTCTCGTCATCCCCAAACCCATGTTTGGGACGGCTTCGGAGGTTGCTGCTTGTGACTTCATGGGGCGCTGCCATAGACCAGACGAGCCACAGCGCAACCCTAATCTGGAGGACCCTGCTTACATAAAAACCGGGTTTCAGTTGCAGGGTAGCTGCCCTTGGGCGCATGGAAAGAAGCCGGTGTGGAAGCTTGAGTCTGCGGCGCTTCGCTGCTGTGCTGTTTTTTGCAGGGCGCCGGGTGCAGATGAGACACGGAGTTCGGTGTCATACGCCAGGCTGTATGCACGCCAGTGCATAAGCACATGGAACGCATGCCGAGCACTTCGCGAGCCGTAGAAATCTGCAAGTAGGCAGGTGCAGGACAAAAGCTGCAAAGGACACATCCTCAACCCATAATTCATAAGCCCTTGTTTGAACCCAGTCTCGGACAAGCCCTAAGCCCTAAGAGCCCTAAACTTTCCTAAGCCCGAAAGAGCTTAAACATACCGAGCTGTTCAAGTTGGCACCCTCTGGTCCTGGGTTCTGGGCACCCCCTGGTCCAGGGTTGCGGCGCCAGGGTCCTGGGTTCCGGCCCCCTGGCTGGACATTGCCGCATCCATGGCAACTAGGACGGAACCGCTGCCACTACGGCTTGGTCTGATCTCGGCCTAAGTCTACTTCGGGAGGCTTGTGGAGGTAGTGGGGCCCTTGTTGTTTTTGTGTGTTTTTTTTGGTTGCTGCGGGCCCCGCATGGCCCTGCCAACACGAAATTCTGGCAGCTCAGCCTGTTGTGATTTCTTTAAACCCATGATCAGCAAACTGAGCCAAAGCATCCATGCACACCGCCATGGCATCTCAAGCACAGTTGAACGGTGCGTGCCCTCTCCCTCTCCCCGCTCTCGAGATAGTTGGGTCCTTACATTTCGGCATTGCACCATACATCCTGAGACGCTGTTCGGCAACGTCTGAGGTCTATGCTTATGAAACAGAAGATCTTGCACAAAGCACCCCTGAATCCCCCGGATTCACAGCCCGCTTAAAAACGAATTGATGATCACAGGATCTACTCTGGATTCCGAAGAACAAGAGTACACCGTAGCCAAGTCCATGCATATTACATCCAACAAACCCAAAGCCGCCCCCGCCGCTGCATACCCACTCTTGGCCTGACATGGACGAAGGCAGCGTCTCCTTGTTTTGAAAGGGAGCATAGTGCAAAGACTCCTGGTTTGGGCTGTCTACACCGGAGTTCCAAGCCTCTCCCGTGGTGCGGCTTTGGGATCAAAGCGTCTTCAGAGTAGCCCCAGCAACCCTCAACGCAGGCCATGATTACCTCACGCGAGTGCTCCGTAAGCACGAGCCCGCGTGAAGTCCGACATCAATTTTTTGGGTTGGGGTGTTTGGTGACTCATTGGTGACTCCGCCAAGCTGCAAGGGCGACAATATCGGCCACCACATTTCGGTCCTGCAGTCGAATTGCGTTCGGGCCAACTCGGCCATCATGCCTTCTTAACTTCTGGCAAACTTATGGCACCTTCAATGCTGGTGCCAGGCGAGGTAAGGCCCTCCCCGAGACCCTTACATTCGCCCCAAACCAAGCCTCTTTCCAGCCATCTCCGTCCCAGACTCGCCACATCTGCTCCAAATCGGTGCCTCTCCGATCTCTTTTGTTCTTTCTGCTTGGGGATCAGGGTGGCCGTGCTCTACAGTAAAAGGTGGTCTTGACCCAGACCTAAACTCTCTCCCAAGTGGAATGTCAATCCAAGGTTGCTGGCTCTGGGTTTCTTTTGATTAGAACGAAAGGGCATTTTGGGCAGCTTCATATATTCGAGTTGCATAGGGGGGGGGGGGGGTTGGGGTTGGAACATTGGTATTGGTAATTGTGAGGCCCCTGTGTTGCAGCCCGAGCCCAGCAGTTCCTCAAGCCTGAACCCTGAACACCCAAAGCCAAGCAAAGCCCTCGATGCTAAAATTTGTTTTCGTTTCTTTTTTGTTTTGCCGCTTAGCTTTATTTAGCTGACCCCTTATGGAGACACTCTGCAGGGAGCAGTGCCAGGCAACGGTGAGATAACATTTTGGGCCCTCCCCTCCTCCACTAGTCATCCTGAAAGGCCCCGTTTGATAAGAGTTTCGGGTATTTCGGGTTAACCCTAAACATAAACCCTTCTTCCTGCATAAGAGCGTAGAGCGCCTAAACGCCCTGTAGAACCTTCCCCCCTGTCCCACCCTTTATCGGACTCAGGCGGGCCTTCGCCTACCGGCCCGCAATCTGCGATGATCCTCGGGGTATTTAGGCGGAGGTTGGAGGGCTTTAGGGGCACACAGGGCTTTGGGGTCAGGTTCGTGAGTTTTGGGACTTGCGGATTTAAGACTTCGGGTTCATAGGGCTCAAGAACTTTGGGACTTAAGGGTTGGTCGAATTGGGACCTGGTCTTCATATGGTGCTCTTAGGCACAGTGAGGGGAAGGGAAAACATGCAATGGAACACTCTCAGACTTGAGCCGCATGTGGATGCCTGCGGGTTTGGGGGGTCTAACTTCGGGTGCAGATGGCAATTGGGATGTTCCCCCTTAGACTAACCGTCCTTTAATAGAGGGATTAGAACAGGGTGTACTATCATGCCGACTAAGGACTGTTAGTATAAGGGGGGAACATCCCAAGATAGCAGCCTGAAAAAGCAGCCATGCATCGAGCCAGTTGCGTCGGAGGAGTCGCTGATGATGAAGGCATCCGTCTGAGGCACCTGCTTTGCTGGGCACATGACTGGCAACTCTTGTGAACGGACAGCTCCCGGGCCGATAAGGAACCCTTAAACCCTAAACCTTGAAACCCAAAACCCTAAACCGGCTGGGTGTTCAAGACTTAACCAGGAAGCCTCAACCTGTGTGTCTGAACCCCAAAAGGCCAGGACAAAACACGATCTGCGACGGTTCCCCCGATGCAGATGAGCCACATAGTACCTAAGTGATCTGAGGGGATTTCAGGTTTGCAGGGCTGCAGGTTTCCAAGAAGTGAGTTGGGTCTCATGGCTTCTAGCTTGGTGGGCTTGGGCGGTGCAGGATTGACAGATTCAAAACTTTCGTTACCCCTAATGAACCCGAGAAGGCCATCAGAACTTAACCTTCTGTTACTTCTGCTTTTGATCAACAGCTCTCATAGGCTACCAAGCCGCAAAAAAACCTTGAACCCGTATTGTACTGTAATGCGCAAAAAGTTCTGCAACCTCTATAGCCCGTAAACCGTATCAGCCCCCCCCCCCCCCCCCCCCCCCCCCCCCCCCCCCCCCCCCCCCCCCCCCCCCCCCCCCCCCCCAAAGCCGTAAACCCAATCATTGGGCCAACTCAGGTCCGAGGGCAGGAAGAGCCGCAAGAGCTGCGGCGAGGGTGCGTCAGCAACCTGACAGGGACCTAAGCTCTAAAGCCTCTAAACCCCCAGACACTTAAAAACATAAGCCTAATATAGTCGCGACACCCTGAACACTAAACCGGAAGGTGAGGATTCTTCTGGTCTTCTTATTGCGTATCTTAGATGTTATTAAAACTTGTAGTACTCTCGGCTTTAGGATTTGGGGGGGGCCCTGTTGCCTCCTCCTCCTCCTCCTTCCCCTCGGCGAGGTTGATCTCGCGCTGGAAGGCCAGCCTGCCGCCCTTGACCTGCAAACCAAAAAGAGTAAGGCTAGGGTTGAGGGTCTTTTAGGGTTTATTCGGGCTTAAAGAGGGTTTATAGGGTTTATGGGGTTTATAGAATTTATAGGGTCTATACCCAGGGCTGCAGGAAGGCGGTCACCCCCCTCCTCCCCCCGAGTTTGAACCCTGAAAGCTCACCCTTGCCGAAACTCTGAGGGTTTGGGAGCAGGTTTTTCGGATCTGAGAGGTTTGGTCAGTATGGCCCCGGCACCTACACGAAACTCCACCAAACCCCAAGCCCCCCTCGAAACCCCAAGCCATCAAGCCATATAGACCCCCATAGACCCTAACTAGCTAACTAACTAGCTATAGCGAACCCGTAAACCCAAACCAAACATCCCCAAACCCTAGACTCCCCGAAGTCAAGCTCAAGCCCGACACCCTACAGCACCCAAGGCCGCCCAGCCACCCGCCAGTAGTGCCAAAGACCATTCACCGCTGAGGAGTTGTAGCCCTCCCTGCCCTTGAGCTCCACCGTAACCGTCTTGTACCTTAAGTGAAGGGGTTTAGAGGCCTTTGGAGACTTTAGAGTTTCGTGTAAGTGTTCTTAGTCTTAAGCCCTGCTGAGCGACTTGAAGGGTCCTTGTGAATATCGAAACCGCGTCTCTCAAGCCCACTGTTGGAGGCTTGCTCTGATGCCCGGCGCTTCACTAGGGGGTGGGGTGGGGAGGGTAGGGGGTTGCATGCTAAAGGTCTGATGTAAGCGAATGTGAAGCCATGCAGGACCTCTAACTATTTTGGTTCTTCGGGAGATGCTCATCGACATGTTGTCGAGGTGTGGAGAGCGGCTTTGCTCTAGGCGTCATGTCTGTTTGTTGAGTTGACCATGACAGAAAGCCAACCAACCGGCTTTCAGCCGCCCTTCTGTTTATCAAGTCCGTCTGCACATCAAGAGCACCTGGCCTAAACCAGCGCCATGCGAATGAAGCCATTACATCCTAGGCCCTAGGCCCTAGGCCCTCAACCATCAGCCGCTGTAGTATAGGACGTGAAGCGAATCTACGACACTTGCTGCCGACCTTGCAACGGATCCAGACCAGGCGATGCAATTCGCACCGTAAGAACTCAGCCCTAACAACCCTCCAGCCCAAGCAACCTTTTGCCCCAAGCTCTTGAACACTGAATGAACCCCACCAAAAACCGAGTGCAATCCCTCAAGACTGATGTGGTTGAGGGGCGCATCCACTTCCACAGGGGCCGGCGGGGCCCGACCGCGCCCTTCCAAGCCGCTCGCTCCACACACGACGGGGGGAGGGGGGGGGGGTGGACGGTCCAGGGGCCCTAGAATAGGAGCCTAAATAGCTACCCAGAACATCCATATACACAAAAGCCATACAAACTACCAAATTTGATGTACAGGACTCCGTGTTTGGGGTTTGGGGCGGCTAATGATCTTGGGAGCTTGGTACCCTTCTGAATGCCTGGGGTTTAGGGTTTAAAGGTGCAGGGATTGTGATTGTGGGTCCTGAGTGTGGGCTACAGTTACTCGGCTTGACATGGAGGGTGTATAAACTCTTTGTGGACCAGAAATGCTTACATGTTGATATCAATGACCTATAAATGCTTTAGAGTCCTTGAAACATACTGTAACAGGGTCTGGGGTGTAGGCCGCCCCCCCCCCCCCCAAAAAAAAAAAAAACTCCTTTGCCAAACAGGGAGCCTTGAGAAAGACTCTTCGGAAGCTTCTGAGACGAACTCCGCTTGCCGTCCCGGCAGTACGGGTTCACCTGCGGGCTTCTGGAGTGAAAGGTGCTGAGGCCCCATCTCAGCGGAGGGCTCTTGGGCACTCTGGCGCTTTTTTGGATTTTTTGAGGCCCTATGACCTTGTATTTACGAAGGGTTGCTGTGGAACCTTTTAGGGGGAGCCGCAACTCTTCACCGCAACTCGGCCCTAACTCTGAAAGCCTCCCCAAAACAATGAAAACCTTAAGCCCCGAAACCCAAAATTCTCAACCCCAAAATCCCTAAACTTCTAGAAACCCCATTTTGTCAATGCGTGAAGCCCGAGTTCGAACCCCAAACCCCCCTTGGTAAACCTCCTAAAAACACAAGCACCCGCGGCCGAGCCGAGTTGCCGGGCACGGAACGCCCGCAGCACTCCAGAAGGAATCCTAGCAGTTTCGGTTTAGGGTTTTATTTTGTGGTGGGTTGTGGCTCTCTAAACATTTGCAAGATTCCTCGGCTAACTACATGAGGCACCGACCTATGGAGAAGACTGCGGGCTAAGACGAAAAAGTGCTTTCAATTCTAGGTTAATGACCGGAAGCTATACTGTTTAGGGTGGGGTCTTGGGCACCTGAAAACACACAGAGTTCTGCCAACAAAGCTGGTTGGCAGAGCAGTGCTGGGTAAGCCCAAGCAGGCTTCCCAACCCTGAGACCTTCAGAATCCTGATATAAGCAGGGTTTAGGGTTTAGGGCTTAGGGTTCAGGGCACGCTCAACCCTAAACCTCCCCATCCCCTGCAGCCACGCCACAATGCTCGCATCGATGAGCGCGCGGCTTGCCATGGCTGTGTCGACCACGTATAGGGTTCAGGGAGTGTTTTGCTTTGTGGCTCTTGCCGCATGCCTACGTAGCAACCTCACACCGGGATTTTTAGGACATAGGGATGTATGCATAGGTTACAGGTATATGACAAGGGCTTAAAAAGGGGCTTGGGGTTGGGATAGGTTGGCAAGTTGGCCCTGGCTTTTGCATCCTCAAGGGCGTCTGCGAGCTGGACACGGAAGCTGGCATGGCACGCGTCTCAAGACCCACCTTCGGGATACAGTCGCCGCCTTCGCAAACCTGCACAATTCCCGTACCAATGTGCGGTCCCCGTTGGTGCTGCCGCCGCGGGCCACCCCGCTGCGGTTGGCCATGACGACAAGGAGCTGAAGGGTCTCAACCTGCTTGTTCTTAAGTCTTCGCCAAGGTGTCAAGGACTCGAGCGTGTGCAAGGTTCAGGGCTTGGGTTTCCACCTGTTCCTGCGCTTTGCCCACAAATAATTTCTACAGTGTTAGCGAGGTCTGTGTTGGGGCTCCTTGTGATTTCTCGAAGAGAGAGCGCACAGCTCCTCAAACGCTGCGCGTAGAGCGTAAAGGGAGAATCACAGCTTTCACAGAATACGCAAAGCCAGAAAGTTAAGTACTCTCAGCCCTGGGACCCTAAACTCCGAAACAAACCCCAATAAACCCTCAACCCTGAACCCTCAACACTGAAGCCTATAAACCCTATAAACCCTATAAACCCTATGAACCCTATAAACCTGATAAATCCTAAACTCCTTAAAGGTCCCTGAACCCTAAGGCGCGGACCAACTCGGAGCTGTACATTGCCAGTGGACCAAACTTCACCACCTGCCGTGGGAACACCGTCACCAAGACCCGGACGCGGCTTGCAGAAAAAATTGGGGGCTTTATGATATTCGGGATACCTTATTGGGGTCCTTAGTATCTGGGAATCCTACTATTTAGGGGTCGATTCAGTGGTGCCCCATCGTCGTAACGCTTCATAGGGTTGAGTTTGAGTCTTTTCGAGTTTAGGATAGTTTAGGGACATCTCAAGTACACTATTCCAATTGCAACCAATTTGCTGCACCCGTGCCTCATGACCGTGTCTAGGGTTTGGCCCTTAAGCTCTGAAGCCCTCTTGAACTCGGTCGTCGCCCTGGAATGGCAGAAGCCCAAAGCCCTCTAGTCCTAATTGCAACCCTAACCCTTACTAAACCCTAAAAACCCTATAAAAGCTCAGGCCCTCGGAACCTTGTGCAGGACCTTCACGGCACCCTTGGTTGTGGCACCCAGGCCCGGTATCCAGCCTGGCGAGACAGTCTGGGTTGCCCCCTAAACCCTTTTTTACGGCTAGGACTGCTGCACTGCCTGCCTGGGACGAACTCTCTGCATCCAAGAAGTCAAGTGCCACTCGCACGCGCACACCCCACTTTCAAAGCAAGGCGAGCATGCCTAAACCCTAAACCCTAAACCCGGATCTTGATGGAAATTCAGGGCTTCGCGCGGGGCTTAGTTCGGAACCGTGGCTTCCGGATGTGCGGGGTTTTCGGCATGTGGAACCCAGACCTTCTAGGAGGGACTGCTCCTCTGAACATGCTCGGGCCGGGGCACTATTCATAGTAGCGTAAGACAAAAACAAGGCAAAACTCTGTCACTCTACGAACCAGTTTGTTACTTGACTTCTTGAGCTTCTTTAGGGCCTGGGAACATTTAGCAACTCCTCCTATGGCCCCTGACCACGTGACCGGAAAACTCCCCAAACCCGAGCCTGAAGGAAAATAGAAAGAGAGAGAGAGAGAGAGAGGAACAGGGAGCTCTGAATCGCAAGATCTGCCCGAGATGCAAGCACCAAACCGCTCTCGTAACTCGCAACTATGGGCAACAAGTCTGCTGATTCAAGCGCTAAACGTCTAGCTGCCCCATGCCCGCGCTAGGAGCCCGTCCCCTCATGTTCCACCATGGCTCTTCAGGAACTAGAACCCGAGTTTTGGCCCACTCTTTGAAATGCTCCGTTTTGGGAATGAAGCCGGCCAGGGTCTAAACCTGGAAAGCTGCAAAGCCCTGAACCGACCCGCTGTCAAGGCTCTTTCCATCCAAGGCACCGATCATCTCAACGGCGCCGCCCAGTGCTAGCGAGCCGAGCCGGTGGGCTTTCTCTAACCTTGGGATGGCTTTTTGGAAAGCTGGAAGGGGCATTTAGCCTTAGTTAGAATATCCAGTTTAGCATCAGGTGGCGCCTTGATCCACTCTGGCAAAAGACTCTCTGCGCCGGGAGGTGTAGCTTGGTGGCTGCTCTGTGAGGTAAACAAGGTAAACCACTTGTGCGGTGTTCGACGTGCCAGAGCTGTCCGAACCAAAAAGGTTCCCAAGAAAAATTGAGAATTTAGGGGTTTATAGGGTTTACCTGGACCCTCAAAGTATGTAAAAAGTGGCCCAAAAACCCAGAAAAAAGGCCATTATTTACATTATTTTGGGGCTATAGGTAGGGTTTACGGTGGCATGAAGGATCATGTAACGCACGCAAGTAGAGACAAGCCTGAAGCGCAGCCTTCAGATCCCTACAGTAAAAAATCCGCCTGAGTGCCCCGCACACTTTCGGGCGGATCCTCGTGCACGGGCGGCGGCTCCCCTGCAAACGAAGGGCTTAGAGTGAACCCCAAAAACACACATGAAAATGGCTCCTAACCCAAAAAAAAGAGGGTGTACAGGCCATCATCATTGCAGGCAATTCGGGGGTAGGTACGGCTGGCTTGACTCTTATCATTGCGACAGTCCCACTCTGGGCCCTGCCAGGCAAATTTGCATCCGACGTCGCCTGACTTGACGAACAAGAAACATCGGGTTCTTCACTTTAGGGTATTCCCCAGAGTAGGTGTACGCACGTTGAGCAAGCTACGTGCGCAAAACGCAATAATTACAGCCTGTGGAAAACATTTCCTGAAAGCACATATCGAGACAGCTTGCATTCACCGGGATCCACCTGCGAAGAAGCTGTCCAAGGTCAGGTGCTGTTGCTTCACTGTCACCACCACCTGCCCAAGCCTAAGCCCCAAGACCCCACAACCTGTGCTTCCGCAGGAGGGAAGCAGCGAACATCTGTTTCGGGATGTGTCGGTCACGGTATCCGATGGTGCTATGCATCATGCACTGACAAGTTGTCTTAAATCCAGCTGCTAGCTCTGCCAATTGTTCATGGTCCCATGCCCAACACTGATATCCATCCAGCTTTAAGGTTAGCCAGAAACCAGATTTCAATCTTGCGGCGCCTAAACCATTCACTGGATTAACCAGTCTCAGCATAAAATGATTCGGAGAGGCATGCGCCTAACTATTTAGCCTTAAGCACGAACTTAATGAAAAGGGGTGCTGAGCTCTCCGTCGAGCTCCACCGAAGCCTTGTCCCGCTCCTCGGCCTTGTGAGCTTTTCGTCATGCTTACAGCTGAAGGGTTTTGGGCAAAGGGTGTTTACGTTCCAGGGTTTTTTGTGCCACCAGCCAAGCAGAGGATTGAAGGGTTCAGGGTTTGCGCTTTCTAGGGCTGTTGGGAACTCTAGGGCATAAGGTGGTTCGGTTCCGGGACTCAGGTGTGGTCAGCTCGTTGCTAAGTAAGGTGCCTGTTTTTTCAGTGTGGCCCCTCATATACAAGGGTACCCTTATATTGGCTCCAAGGGTACCCTTATATTGGCTCTAATAGCTGTACTGTAGTAGAGCACTAGGCATGTGAAGCTGTCGACCTCGTGGACGACGGGCTCATCCTGGGGGGACTCTTCATCCTTTGGGGTACCTGATGTGCTTCTTCTCTTGATTCTCTGAAGCCAGATACAGCTACGTAGAGTTAACGCACCGCCAAAAGGAACTACAACTGGGGCCAAGGTTGGGCTAGAGAGTTTTGCAGGAGGCCACTTATGGCTCTCAAACACGGCCCCAGGCCCCCCCCCCCCCCTGATCCCCCCAAAAACCTAAACCTTAAGCCTAAACCCTCTCTCTGTCTTCTTCTTATTATTCTTACTATTCTTCTTCTTCTCTTTAAAACCCTAACCCTAAACCGCATGAACTGCGAGGCCCTGGCCGTGAGGCAGCTGTAGCATCTCGGCGCTGCGTCGGCAGCTTCAACTTTGCTCGACATCTCTCCTCCATTCTTTGGGGGTCCTTACTACAAGGGAATCCTATGTTCCCCTATTGTCGCAAACCCCCAAATGAATTCTAAGCTAGGCGCAAGGAATCACGAACGAGTGCAGGTCCTACATCTCCACAGGCACCGCCATCACCGCCGCGGGTACTTCGGCCGCAGACCTGCCAGCGAGCCGAGGGCCCCCATCCCTACGAAACCCTCACCGAGCGAGATCTGTGACTGCCATGACCTGGACCTCGGACGCCTGAAGTAACCCTCTACTATAGAAACCCGAAACCCCAAAACCACAGAAGCTGCCGGAGAATCTCAAAACAAAGGCCGGGGCGGAGCAGGGCACAGGTGCCGTGGAGAGCGCAATGGAGCCTGGAGCGCCGGTCTTCTTTCCGTGCTGTAAACATATTGGTCGAAAGAAGAGAAAGTTGATTTAAACGCCAAAAAATATTAACATATATGTATATACATATATGTATATATGTGTGTGTGAGTGAGTGAGTGAGTGAGTGAGTGAGTGAATGAATGAATGAATGAATGAATGAATGAATGAATGAGTGAGTAAATGAATGAGTGACTGAACGAGCGAATGCATGGATGAATGAGAGCATGAATGCATGAATGCATGAAGGAATGAATGGGGAAAGGAATCAAGGAATGAAGGGATGAAGGAATTAATTAATGAAGAAAGGCATGAAGGCATGAATGAAGGAATGGATGAAGGAATGAAGGAATTAATGAAGTGCTTAGATGTAGGGCGGACGGGGGTTTCTTGCAGCCTGAACTACATATGGGCACGCATCACGGATCGGGCCTCTTGCTTGCTCCACGACGCCAGTGGCAGCGACCTGTCTCCACCATGAGACGGTTCGAGCGCAGTGAGCAATATCCAACGCCAACCTCAATTGCAGTTATCCTACTTCTTCAGAATCGCCAGACCAACATGACACCATAAAGGTCCGCAAAACAGCAGCTACAGTACCTCTGGCAAACAATATATCAGGCCGCAAGGCCCCTAAACATCCACGCCCGCAACTCGAAGAGCGGCATGCAAGGGCCTTCGCTCGCTCTACATGCCTTTCGAGGGCACTGGCTGCTTCGGTGCGAGCCTGCCATCCACAGGTGTGCTCCAAGCCACATCCAGAACCTACAGTCCTTAATCAGAACAGAAGGCGTTAGTCGTATCTTTCCGCGGCTTGCCTATAAGAATCTGAATAATCGTGCTTAAGGCAAAAGCCTTCAATAGGATGCAATAGGAAACCCCCAGCCCGTGCTGCATTGCACGCCTGATCAGCTGCTGCCGCGATCTTCTCAATCAACATCGCCGCAAGCGCGAAGAAAACCTGACAGTTCACTATCCCAAGACAGGAGTTCGTCATCATCGATGTGAGCTGTGCTTGCAGTGTGTACTGTCCAAGGCATAAAATTAACGAACTTTGAACAGGAAGAGCACGTACTGAAATCGTGAAATTTCCGGCCTCTGCCGCCGACAACGCCAAAGACTGGAACTGCCTTTGAAAACGTGCACTGAAACCCCCCGCCTGGATGCATAGGCTGGCCAGGAAGGATGAGGCTCTCTGTTCCGGGCTGGTGTTGGTGGGGCTTGATGCTTGGGGCTCTAGCGTTCCCATGCGTCTAGGCCATGGTCTTTTATATTTTCGGCCATGCACTCTGCTCACTTTGGGATGGTTGCACAAGGCCGCAAGATCTGATGACACGCCATGAGGTCTGCTTTTGTCCTATATAAGCCGAAAGAGGAAGGATCCCGCACCAAGTACTTCGTGGACCTCCTTTTGAAGGGCTCGGGCTCGAGGCACTCCATGTATATATCAGATTGCTGCCTGAGTCCTCTGTTCTGGGTCAAGCCGAGAATATGCACGGTTCCGATTTACCCTTTTTGCTCATACATGTACGAGTTCTTTGAAGTACGAGATGTGGGAAAATAGTTCCACATTTTTACAAACCCTGCTTTAATTAGTGGACAGATGGGTGCAGGAATACTTATTGGGTTCGTCCGGCCATGGACTAGGAGACGCTGCTCCGCCAGAACAGATACATGTGCATGCTTGCCGACTGCGGGTAAACGCAATTGTGGCTAGCGAGTCTCCGCTTCAGTTTTCATGAGCTTTCGAATAGTGGTGATCCCTGCTACAAAGGAAACCTCAGAAAAAGCACACACGCACGTGTAGACAGGTATGTACGTGCGCGTCGTGTGTGCGCATTGCGGGCATTTTTTGCATCCTGATCAAGCTCATCATTCTGTGAAGCCCACCTTTGATCTGATCTGCATTGCACAAATCAAAAGCTGAAAGTGTGTCAAACCACTGACATCCTGCTTTCACCGCACTGTGATTCGCCAGCAAGTCTCCAGTGGACCCTTGCATGAATCCGGCAGATACAAACAACCTCCTGTCAGAATAAAGCTGCAATTCGAAATTGCCCGCCCCAACAGACCGACATCAGGCCCTCACTTTCTTGAGCCCCGGCATTGCCAGGATGAAGCTGCAGCTAAAGCATTGCAGATCACGCTTGGGGCCCCTCCCAAGTGGATTCTCCAGTTTTCCTGGGTCGGATGCTGTGCTTGGACTGACGTATCACGGCGTTTCTGAGGTAGTACGGGCTTCGGCTCAGATGTAGGGTTTAGGTGCTTGGGGTCAGCACCGTTCTGTTTGGAGGCCTCAGGCTCCAAATTACGCAAGCCCGTCGTGAGAAAGTCTCATTGACAAGGTTTTGCAGGGAAGTGTTTTCAAGACCTATCCATTTACGTGCCAGCCATTGCTGTAGGTTTGGTACGCTTCTTGAATTTGCTGACAGCGACGACACTGCCTTGCAGAAAACGCAGCAAACTTTAAACTCTAAACCCCAGCCAGGCCAACACTTGGTAATGGCATAGCTTTTGTGACACACAGCGAATGTTTCTCAAATGGCACCGGGATCCAAAGGGGGGTGAGGCAGAGGCCAGCACCCCGCTGAAGTGCCTGACTTCAAGCCCTAGATTGCTCAAGGGGCAACGTTAAACTGCTCATAGCATTTGAAACTGATGGATCCCGGGTTCAGGATTTGAGTCTGCAATGCCGGGGTTCGATTCCAAGGTTACAATATTCACGGTACCGGAGTGTCTACAGGGCATTACAGTACAGGCTGTTGGGTTGCTGGATAAGCCTGTTCTGAATTGCTCATGTTTTTTTTTGCAATAGCTGCTCCAACTCGCGCCGTTGCTGTCCTCTCCGAAACGGGTTCGTTCATGGGTTTGGCCCCCATGTTCTCCCCAGTTCCGAGCTCGGGAACTTTTTTTGCACCGGCAGCTCCTCACGGTCAAGTGTCACTGCGCGTCATACAGGCACTGACAAGTGACCGCCCAACGTCCCCAGAATCTTTGCTACATGCTCTAACCAAGACCTGGCATGCTCACTTCTCTTCTTTTGTCATCCAGAAATCCTCCTTCCACGCCCGCGGCCCCGCGAGCCATGCCGGGCGGCCATGGGCCCGCATGCAAGGGGAGGGTTCAGGGTGGAGGGCTTACAATGGGTTGGCTTAGCAGGGATTGAGGGCACTCACCGAGCTGTTCCAATTTTCAGTTGTTAACACTGGCTCGCGCGCCACATGGGTTCGGGTCATCATACTTGAGCCCTCTCGAAAGGTGTACCAACAGTCAAGCCCCTAGCGGCCTTGGCATTCTTGAAGCTGCTACGCTTTCACGGCTTGACAGGAGCCCTCTGTTGGATTTATCCTAGGCTCTTTGAGGCTTCAAGCAGTATAATGGAGTCTTACATCCGGAAGGCGATGCAGAATGAAAGGGCCGGCATGCCGCCCGACAACACAAGCCCTGAGCATTTGCAGGAGAGCGGAAGCAGAGGGTTTCAGAGTTGAAGGCTTTAACTGTTTTAAAGCTACCTTTCGCAGAATAAACCGATGGTGTCGAGTTGTGTTGCTACTCCAAAAACCTACTTTAGGCTGAGGCGTGGGATAACTCAGGGGTAGGCCATCAGGTAGCTGTGGAGTGTGGCTGCATGCGCAAAGACGGAGTTGATGCACACGATGGGCCAAGAGCACTTGTCCAGACATGTAATCATGAGTTGAGGGGTGTCATACTTGCCTTACAGAGAATAATAGTTTCCAGTGATACCCTCTGGACCTGGATGTGATCTGAGGGTTCAAGGCTGGCTGCTGTTGGACATAGAACTGCTTGGTTGTGTGAAAAGCCTCGGGCGGAGGTCAACAAGATCGATCTACGAGGTGGTCCTGAGGCTCACAGCAATGGAACGTGGTAAACCTTTGCCGAGTACCCAAGACCCACAACTATTGACAGGGTCCAACTATGCGCGGGCCACGTCTTTTGTCCGAGCTGCATTTCGTCATGCCGTGAAGCAGGCACGCACGTGCTTGCACTTCTGAAAACGCAACGAAATGAAACAACAGCGGACAAGAGCCCTTGCGCAAATCACGGCTGCTCCAGCGATCACAAGCATCAAGCCGACGTGACCTTGCCCAATCAAAGGTTTTGCTGAAACAGGGGCCAATGGAATGGTAGTTTTCATGATGCTCATATATGTGGGTTCTGAGGGGAATCGGTAACTATTAAGGCTCAGGTGGGCCCCTGCGCTGGTTGATTTCGTGTGTCATAAGCCAAGTAGAAGAAGAAAGAAATGATCATAAGACATGTCAACAATTTGCCCGAGTCAGTTGGTAGTACCTTGACACCGCCTCTGGAGCTACGTGTTTTGGAGCGTGCTGAACGCTGTCTCTATAAAGCACCTTGCGAGCGCAAGCGTGTCTAAGTAAGAGAATGCCTGCGACCTTGGCACTTGAGGTCTAAACAACTCTGACGGTGCTTTTGCCACAACGATGCACAGTATGGCAGTTTACGGTATATCTCCTTTAGACATCCATCGTTTTTATCTGGGCCAGCCAAAGTCTACTGGATTTTTGCAGGGAATAGGGAACGAGGTACCCTGTATATACTCCGGTAAAGGGTATGTATAGACATAGGGGGTATGGGGTACCCATTCCCTCTTCCCTACTAAGAACTAGTAGGTAGGGTGCTCTGCATCAACACGGCCGAGACGCCGGCTGACACTGAACACGGAAGCCGCGCTTGCGATATGTGGCCATGCAGTGCACGGTCGTCACTCCGGTCGTTGCGCTCACCTGGGCGGCGGGAATATCTCCGACTGCTGCAGCTTTTCATGCAGAAACAGTTGCACTTTGCAAGAGTAAACAAACTGTGGTGGACTGACGAAACATGCACCACGACATGTCAGCAACGAGTCATTGGAAACAATGCCAAGACATCCGAAGCAAGGCATCCTTGAATTGACTTAGTGTCAGCAAAACATGGGCGGCGCTGCCTTGGGTTAAAACCCTCCGATGTCATCGTGTGAGCTTTGCTTCTTGACCAAAGTCAACACGCATACGTGCAAACATGCTGAGCGAATGCAGTTTGTAAGGGAAGCTGCGGGCGGCTCACATCCGATACCTCTGACGCGCCTTTCGGCTTTATGTCTGAAACTGCGCCGTTCTCTTTACAGCTTAAAGAACGTGAAGATTGCCATATGGTTCAGGGTTGAGGGTTTTCGGGATGATCGCATGGGGTTAAAGGTTTAAGGGAGTTTCGCTCCGCCGAGCTTGGGATGGTCGCTACTGGACTTTCGAGCTGATAAGGCTTGAGGACAGTCAACGCAAGCAGCCACAGAAGCTTGAAGACATATGAGATATGGAAGATACCAGGTATAACAGATGTCGGAGCTACCATGCTGTAAGAGACCGCAAACAGGCGATACTCTAACACGGAGCCTTGACACACCCTGAAGCTGCACACCTTCCCCAGACCCCGTCGACTCAACCCCTGGAAGCCCCAAGTTACAGGCAAGGAGCAAACCTGGAGCTCTCTGGAGCTCAGAGATCAGAGAACTCTGGCGGCGGTCGTCCTAGCGGCCTGCATTCCACGGCGCTGGATTCAGAGTTCACTGCTTGCGGGAGCCTGGTTGTCTTTGTTTTCAGTCTAGGGCACGGGGATCATGGGTGGGGAGCGTGGGCTGATAACTTCGCGGATGTCCAGCAGCCTCCCATGAACCTCAAGCACTTCAACTGCCTTCTGCGCACAGTACTCGTCCTCAGGGTGCAAGCAATGTGGATCATGATGAGCAGCTGATGAGAACCTGTAGGCCTGTGGCCCCTGCAAACCTAGAGGCCGAGCCTGACAGCCGGAAGGGAACCCAATGGAGCAGTGCTGCACCAAGAAACCACCATCTGATTTTTTCTGCCGAAGAAGAACTCAAAGCAGCAACAAACCTGCAACATCTCCTGTCCCCAAATCATTAAACGCTGGAAAGAAGAGCCCATGGCCTGCGTTTGGGATGAATGTCAAAGCGGACTCCGGCTCCATCGCCTTGCCTGACGGGCACCCTAACGGAATACCTTACAGGCATCGGTGCTCATGGTCGAGCTGTTTGGGGATGTCTTCGGGTTATCTCAGTGACCGGTCTAAGATCTGTTGCAGTGCTCTAGGGCCATGTGCAGGCTTCGGTGTTGAGAAGTGCTTTTTCTTTTCTCGCCTGCAATTCTAGTATTCTATCTGCCAGTTCAAGATGCCTAGTTTCTGCTGATGATGTTACCCTTGGGCTGCTTTTCTGCAATACATTTACCTTGGCAACGTGTTTTGCAAACATGGCGTCTGAAAACATGGGGATCATGCTGGTATCGGCGAGGGAGATACGTGACCCGCGGATATTCAAGGCAATTATGTATGCCTCGATGCAAAGATGGTCGGTAGCACAGTTTTGGTTCAACCCCAGGGGTCGTTTCAAGATATCTCAGCGACCCTGCGGCGGCACCTCATGGACAGGTTGTCGCGAGTCATGGCCTCTCGACTCCACTCTTCATCGCCGTCTTCGTCAACTTCGGGACGCTGCAGCTGCATTGGCTCCACAAGGGTTTTGCCGCTCTCCCAGCCCATTACGGTGAAGCCATCCTCGTTGACGCAGGTTGAAGGAAAAGGGCGAACGATTTCTCCCACCAACTCCTTCAAGGTTTGGGTCTCGCGGGCAGCAGGCATTGGTATTCGGAAAGGGGGGCACAGGGAGACACCAACCACGACTACCCAATTCTCAGAAACAGGGTCATTATCCCAGGCCTATCCCAGGTGCAAACATCCGGCAAGGCCCCGCGGTTCCTCGTAAAGCATCACGTTGAGAAAAGGAAGTTGTCTGTTGCATCGTTGGCTCTTCCCAACACCCTTCCTATTGTGTATTCCACCCCAGGGGACACCATGTCTCTGTCGAGATTTGAAGATGATGGTGAAGTGCCAGCGCTTCCATGTTTTTAGGAGCGATGACTTCCAGGGTGCCACGCCCACCTTTGCCTCGGTGTGAAAATATGCCGCATACACGGCAAGAAATCACAGCGAGCTCTTACAACCATCAACAAGCCAGTACAGTATACACTCTAGTTGATTGAGCCCTGCTGTACATTGTTGACAAGTTGTTCAGTCTGGGCTGTTCAATACGAAGTAGTCAACACGTCAGGATGCAACGAGAAAGGCATGAATGACATGCAGCCAGCCGCCCATTCATCATCATGCAGATAGTAAATCTCAAGCTCGTTAAGCTTGGAGCGCTTGATGCACCATGCAGCACCCTGGAAGGTGGCTAGACAGCAGCCCTCACCGTGACGAGAAAAGTCATTCATTTCACAGTCGAAGCCCTCTTCAGTCATCTGTCGCTCCCAAGCTGCTTGCAGCTCCGAAGGCCAGGAGAAGTTTGTGCCATCTAGGCCTAGCATGCTGACACTTCGGGGCGCGAAGAAAAATCCCAGGTCAGCAGGATGAGCAGCGGGGTCAAAGTTGCACTCTGCGGGAGTAACTCCAATGAGAAAGCTGTCATTGTTGCTCCATTGTCCCCCCAGTCCCACAGCAAGGCAATCGGAGAACGTAGCCGTGAACTGCACCCACTCATGCTTGAGGCGACACTGGGGATGATAGATTTTCCTTCCAGAAACTCGAATTCCCGGGCTCACAGATTGTATTGGGAGGTAAGTGTCCACCATAAAGGACCGTCTTGACTGTATCCAGCGGCGTGCCAGTTCCACGTCCGTCAGCCCACGACAGAAGTTCTCGGCATCCAGGTCCGAACAGTGGCCTTCAAAGCATCGCCTGATGCAGGCTGGGGACGACCCCCCCCTCCCCTCTTTCTGACGAGTTGTCATTGTCGTTACTTTAAACAAGCGGATGCAAGAACCCCTTACCCAAAGCTCCAACAGTCCCTTTTTGCAAGGCAAGGCCTGCAGCTCTGAATATGTCGCACTTCTCCCTCGGAAAGCTGCTCCAGAAAACCAAGGCCGGGGTGCAAAGCGTACCATGTCCAGCCGCAGCTGTCAGAGGCATGCCACTGTCCCAGAAGTGTCAGGCAAGGATCCCTGGAAATTATGGGAGGCCCGTCAGGAGCACCATTACACAAAGGAGGATGTGATCGACGTCCACTTCCTTTGCCCCAGCCGACCACTCCAGAACCAGAGCCGCCTCGCCTGGGCTTTTGCGGGCCTGTGTGTGTGTTTTCCTAACGTTGGCGCCCCTCTTCCCTCTACAGTGTACAGCAATTCCAGGTGGTGAGTCGCTTGAAAGAACTTTAGCATACAACTTACAGCCTTTCCGCCACGACTACTACAAAGACGAGCAAATCCTGTACCCTGCAGCGTTACTGGCCGTGCACTGGCATGCACCGGCAGCATATGGCAGCATACTCTGCAAATTTCCCCAGTGTCGGACATCTTCTAACTCACGCAAAAACCGTGGCATATGGCAGTGGCACATGATGCTGGAACACTCTCTGGTGTTGTGGCTTTCGGCTTTGGCTTCGTTCAAGCAGCGGGTTGGAGGCAGATTGGGGCCAACCCCCCCACTCCGCCCAAGATGGCCCTGGATATGTTGAACTTTAAACTCATGAAACTCTAACGAAACGCTAGACTGAAAAAATAATCATGGTGCCAGTGCACTAGCACTGACAATACCAAAAAGCAGTGGTAAGCATATATAGAAGTACAGGAGCGATAGCAATAGACCCAAAATTAAAAATGCCATAGTCATAGTCAAATCATGCAAGAAGTCATGTTGTGTTAGCACTCATTGGTGCTAATGTTAGTAGCAAAAGCAAGTACAAATCACACGTAGCGATCAGCAGTAAGAATTGACGAATACATAGTCATGATATGTTCGTCCCTGAGCATTGCTGATTTGCGAATATTGACATGCTAATTGAACCAGAGATCGCACGAAGTACTTGATACGCAACCTGTACTACTTCATAGCTTTTATTTGTTAAGCTTGTTAAGGCTCTGTTAATAAATCTTCCACAGGCATTGTTACAACATTAATACTCAATATTTAGCCATTAGTTGCAACTCAAGTTAGCAAAAGCATTCAGCAATTAACAATGGATACTTGCTTAAAAATAAGAAATAATCAGTAGCGACCAGGAAGTAGAACGTAGCAGATCATACTTTTTAATAGCGATTGATTTAAAACTTTGTCAAAGAGATCACTAACTCGACTCAACACTCAAAATGTGAAGAACATCACGTAGCAACATTACACATTTTGGTAACCAACGATGAAGTAGTGCCAATTCAGAATGAGAGAGTAGTAGCCCATAGTCCGCAATTATAAATTACCGACTGACAGTTTTTTGAGTAGTCGATACCGAAAAATCATAAGGATAATTCGTAGTTTGCCATTCGTCATTATTTGCAACAACAAACAAATTGCACTTAATACTGTAGTCATGAGCAACCAACACTGAATCAATAGTTCTGGGCATGAATGATCTAAATATTTAAGCTGGCAGTCAAAACATCATGAGTACAGTACTGTACTAAAGTAAGCAGTGATGATTCTTCGACGTGAGCTCTTAGAATATCATACTTTAGTTCAAACATAGCCTCTTTAACTGTCAGGCCCAAAAAGCCGCGTAACAACTCAGCACCAAAGCCACGTAACAGCTTTGGGGGGAGGGGTTGAACACGCAGCAAAAAGGTCACGTAACAGTTTTGGGAGTGAATGTAAATCAGCCAAAAAGCCACGTAACAGTTTCTGGGCTGCAGAGTTCTGGAATTCAGGCTAATTCAGGATTGTAGGGACTCCCACTCCAATGGCCTTGAAGCCACCATTTCCGGAGCACCAGTCTCGGGTAGAGGACATGAAATCCGAAAAGGCTAAACCCTAAAACCCCATAAAACCTAAAACTCAAAGCCCTAATCCCGAAAACAATTGTAATTTATAGAATTTGGGTTCCCAAGATTTCGAACCGTACCTACATCAGGGTTTAAGGCTTCGGCTGAGGGTTTAAGGTTTAGGGTGTGTTGATATTATGCATCAACACAGCTTTTATATGCTTTTATTGCGTGCAGCAAAACGGTTTTAAACGGTTTTGTTGCCACGTAAATGGCCCCTGAAAATTCCAAAACGGTTTTAAACGATTTTGGACTATTACGTTTTCTCGTTACATGGCATCAAAACGGGTATAGACGGTTTTGTCGCTTCTCTTTACAGCGCATGAAGACGGTGTCAAACGGTTTTGTTGCCTCTACTTTCAACGCATCAAAACGGTTTTGAATGGCTTTGTTGGCCCTGTCTTGAATGGGTGTAGGACGACCATGTTATAAACATCATGACCTCATGGTTGTAAAAGTAGACCACTGCTCTCATGACCCCTGAAACTTTAGGGGACTGCTTCCTGCTTCCGCCTTGCCTCCCCCCTCGATGTTCATGGCTCGCAGCAACTCCGACTGTTTTGTTTGGGATGTTTCGGCATACTTGCCATTCGGCGCTGAAACAGAGTCAAGCAGACTCTTACCGGCTATTGCGCGCGTCTTAGGCTTCCAGAAGCAGGTCAGGAGGAGGCTCGAAAGAGCCCCTGAGGAGGCTTGTTGTGTGAGAGACCCCACCAACCGCCGAAACGTTCCCTGCGAAAACCTGACCCACAAACAAACGAAAACCCCCCCGGGACACAGAAGGAAGGCCCCTTAAAAACCCAAACGCTTCATGTAAAACACGCCATAAGCTGCTACCGTCACGGACACCCAACAGGACCCCTTGTAAATGAGAAGCCGGAGCCGTTGCCGAAACCATTACTTATCACACTCACAGGGTTGCTAGTTTCCTGTGGCAAAATACAAAATGCAGCCGGGTGCGATTTATGTTTTCCTTGTCCCCTTGGACAAAGTCCATGGATGATGCTCAGGTGATGCGACGGTCTCCTAGGATGGCTTCGTGTGGAAAATGCAAATCGCACCCAAGTACGATTTGTACTTCCCACAGTGATGCTCAGTGAGTGATGCGACGGTCTGCTAGGCTGGTTTTTTCCACGTTACAATACGCACCCGGGTGCGATTTGTATTTTCCCACAGTAACGGTCCGCTAAGCTGCTAAGCTGGTTTTGTGTGGATAAGACCCCAAGAGGTTGACACAAAACCATTGAGGTCAACTGTTACGGGCGTTTTCGGATTTGGCATTGCCAAAATATTTACTCCAGATTAAGGAGACTATGCCAAAACATGCATGGGGGGGTCATTTAATGCAACGAAGTCAAAACCATTTACGCCAAGCATTACGTGCAGTACCCCAAGAGGCAAAACTGTTAAGTGCACTTGGGTGTCACTTACGCAACCAAGTCAAAACCATTTGCGTCAACTGTGATATGCATTTCCCCCAGAGGCAGAACTGTTACGTGCACTTGGGTGTCATTTACGCAACCAAGTCAAAACCATTTACGCAACCATTTACGTCAACTGTTACGGGCGTTTTCGGGATTTACATTGGCCCCAAAATCTCGAGGCTATGTTTTGATCTAATTCATACGCATCACGGTGACCTGGAGGTTGTTTTGGCAAGAGAAGAGCAAGTAAGCTGGCAGGACTAGTGGAGCGGCTGACCGGGCGCCAACCGTACCAAGGGCTCTACACCCACACAAACAGTAGGACACGAAAGAGAACACGCAGGACGCCTCCACTGGCTTCCCAAACACACAACGCGCACCAACCCTACACACTAATTCACCAACTCACTCTCTCCCTCGCTCACTCACCAGCAGCTCACACCAACTGTGCCTGGGCTTGAAGAGGAGCGCCGCTGAGTATCGGCGCTCAGGCAGGGTGTCGCCCCAGGGCCATTGCCTGCAGCCGCAGTTGCTGGCCCAGGTGCAGCATGAAGATGAGATTTGGGGACAAGTCGGGAGCATCACACCCCCCCCCCTTGACTGCGCGGGTAGGTGGGCAGCATAAACAGAGACCAAGCCAAGGCTGGCTGTAGACACGAACTCTGACTTTGTGTCGGCACAGCCAACGGCTCAAACTCGCGTGGAGGAGCCTGCTTCGGTCCCTACAGTACAGTTCAGATACAAAGGGAACCGCAGGAAAATGACCAACTTGAGTTTTATTTTTATTTAGTTAGTACTAGTACGACAATGATTTTGAGGCAGCTGCAAGCTACGGTCAAGCCATGGTCGAGCGCTTACACCATGGGTTCCGGGTGGGAGACTAGAGTGGCGTGAGCGGACTTCAGAGTCCTCGAATGATTTCGAACCAGGGCACACGTGCCCGAGTGACTGCAGCGCATCGCCAGGCATCGCCAAGAACAGCTCCAGGCCTCCTCGCTTGTACGTCATCCCCCACCTGGTGCCCGGAAGAAGCGGTGCTTTCTTCTTGTCCTTGAACTTGAGGGGCAGAACCCACAAAAAGTCCAAGTTCTGGCTGAGCAACTAGGAAGACTTAAAAAAACAATGGAATGGAGCGCTGAGCGTCTTTGGCTAATCCGAGTCCCACCCTGTCGCACGGCATCCCAGCTAGAGAGGGCAGTATGAACTGGGCCTTCTGCCCCTCCAGCGTCCCGCAGACTGTGCCGGACTTGGGGCTGAACCTCAGATTCGAAGTTTCCTGGGTTCAGGGATTTCAAGTCTTTTACGTGCGTTTGGCAAGTTAAGCTGCAGGGAAACATTGCAGCAGGAGGGGCCAGAATCCAATTTCGCCGGCGACGCCCTCACGCGCTCTCGTGAAGTCGATGGTGTCAGAGGGCACCAAACCCAGCAAAAACGAGTCGAGCTTGCTCCAGCCCCCATCCACTCGAACCTGCGGGTCCCGCGACTCACACCAAGGGCTTCCAAAGCATTTCTGTCCGTAATGCCACGTGTAGAATAGTACAATTCTGAGTTCGGTGAGGGACCTGGGAATGGGGGAGGGAGTTGCCGTACATTTCTGGCTTGGCATGGGGCCAAGGGCCACTCCTGACAGGACCTCAAGCAAGCCAAACTTGTTGTTAGAGTTTTATCACTTATAAACAGCCCAAACAAAATAGGTCTTGGATGGTCTTGGGGATCTTCAGGCAACCCATGCAATAATCCGAGGTCCGAGCCGACAGGCTGAACGATCCATCGGCCGAGTCGGGCGTCAGCTCCATGCCAACAAATCCTTGACTTCCCAAACGCTTGCAAACGTAGCGTTCTAGGGACTAGGGTTTTGGGGTTTAGGGCCCAAACATGCAGCACTCCATTTCTCAAAGTTGTGGACGCGACCATGTTAAACGCATTTTGCGTGCAGAGACAAGGCTCCGAAAGACTGCTGAGGGTGCATCACCGTGCAATTGCTGATGCGAAGCATGGGATGCTGCGCCTTCACATGCCTTGGTTGTGCTCAGAGCTTAGTTCCTCAAGCGCCGACCCCCCAAGCCTCAACCATCACAACCCAACCGCTCCCTAGCTGAAGAAAGAACACCCCCTGTACATTCGAAAGCCCAGATGCCATGCAGTAGGAACTGGGCCGGTTTCGAAGGAGTTCCTTTGGAAACGACACAGGCCAAGAACAGAACAGAGCACCCTAAGCCCTGATGCCTACAATCGTGCGGACCAGGTGTGTACAGATACGAGTACTGCTGGCCAAGTCTCAGGAGGCCAAGGACCTCTGGGCCAAGCTCGATCGTGCTGCGCTTCCAGTCCTTCCGTCCGCAAGACACGCTTTGGTGTCGCTCTCCGTCACGCACTCGATACAAATGGTCTTGAGCTGAAATACTTTGCAGTTTGAACGCGAGGTGAATTACGCGTGTGCTTGTGCAAATGGTTCTCTCTCGGCCCCTGCCGAACGGAGAGCTGTGTGGAAAGAGACAACAAATCTCGCTCTCGGGGCAAGGAGCCTCCGCTACAAATTTTAAGGCGGAATTCTCTGTAGTATTTCAACCTGAAGTCCTGTTGCACCACTGCTGGCCTTTGTAGCTCCAATGAAAGATTCTGCACATAATTTATGGGAGGAGCCACGATGAACTAACGCAAAAAAACACTTTTGCATCCAGGCCTCGTCGAACAAAACCCTAAAACCCTTTTTCCTAAACCCCTCAACACCAGGGGGTCCCGTGCTTCGTGCGAGAGGCGGTCTGCAGCCTTGTTTCGGCCGCGATTCCGCCACCTGGGCAGGATTGTCGCCCTTTAAATAGGGCCCCTTCGCGTTCTGCCGCACCAAGGACGCAACTCATGGGCGAGAGGGCCTCTACAGAGGACTTTGTGGGCTGAGGCTTGGGATCCGTCAGGTGCTAGGTGCTGTCTGCTCCTCAGGCTGCCATCTTCTGCGTAAGATATCTTTTGAGTCGAACATTTGGACGTAGCGGCTTCACCATGTCGACAGTGACGTTCTTCTTCGCGATCTGCTGCACGGCCTGCGGGGGGACATCACGTAAGCAGTGTATATCTACACCGGTTTGCCTTTAACGTGCTTGGGAGGAGGCTTGGTTCGGCGCATATGTCGGACTGTGGGGCTGAGCGGTGAAATTACGACGACTTGCCACTCTTGCCATTCACTCCCCTGCATCGCACCTCTTCCACCAGCTGTGCCAATCTGTCCTTGGCCACCGTCAGATACGGCGAACATCTGCTAAACGCGATCAGCTTCCGGCTGCGTACTGGTGTTGCTGGACTCCTAATGGCACATGTGGAATGATCCAGTGCGCCTGGGACTCAATGCACATCTGAGCACTATGGACACGACCCAAGCTTGAAGCCCAAAACTCCGCATTTCACAGAAAAGGGGTACTTCAAAACATAACCCCCCAAATGCACGAGGAGTCCTTACAAGAGGCAGTCCGAAAAGGGTTCCCATATTTTGGGGAAAGTCCAAAACCTAGACTCCTTTCAACTTACCAGTTCTTAGTAGGGAAATAGGGGAACAGGTGCCCTATATACTCCCTCAGAGCGTAGGGGGATGCATGTGCCTACTTTCCTACTAAGATGCAGCAAGTGGTCACAAAGGTGCCAAGGATCCATCTTGGCTTCCACATCGGGATGCTCGCTGCGCAAGCCCCTGGCTGTGCCAACTCCACTATGCCGGTCCACCACAAACTTGCAATCGCCTCCGACAGGAGCAGGGCTCTCGTTTAGGGTTTAGGGTTAAGGAATGGTTAAGGGTAGGCGGAGGTTTTTTTTTTTCTCCTAACGTTGGCCCTGGCTGGTTGGCCTTGCTAACGTTGGCCCTGCCATTCCTGGCTTTAAATGCTATGAAATGCAGCATTTCTGGTTGCTTGTAAGCCCAAAACGCTCACAAAACAGCGTTTCTGGGTATTCCAAAGCTCGGAATGCTGTAGGTTACAGCAGTTGTGACTTTTTGTAGGCTCTAATTGCTGAAAAATGCAGCATTTCTGTGCTCTTCTAGTATTGTAGTTGTTGTATATTCTAGTGTATTCTTGCATATTCTTCAATGTTCTTGAATATTGTTGAATATTGTTGAATATTCTTGAGTCTTCAAGAATATTATTGAATATTATTGAATACTCTTGAGTATCATTGAATATTCTTGAATATTATTAGTCATATTGAATATTATTGAATAACATTCAGTATTATTGTGTATTATTGTATCTTATTGTGTACTGTTGTATATTATTGTTTCTGCTGGTATCTTTTTGAACATATTTGATCAGTAATCTACTGCTTTACATACTGTAAACGATTGTACAGTACTGTAGATTATTGCATATTATTGTAGATTGTATACTCTGGTTTATTCTTGTTTAGTAATCTATGCTTTTGATATAATTGTGTATAACTGTATACTACCGTATTCTATTGTCAGAAAATATTGTATCTTCTTATATACTATTGTATGTTATTGTATATTGTTGTTTATGATTGTATATGATTGTATATGATTGTAAAAGATTGTAAAATATTGTATATTATTGTAAGTTATTGTATATTATTGTATATTATTGCTTGTTCTTGTATATTGTTGTGTATTCTGGCATTCTTGAACATCAGTGTATTGTCTTATATTATCGTGCATTTTTATTGTGTAAATTGCATATTGTTATACTATTGGATACTAGTGTCTATGTTGAATATTCTTGTATATTACTGCATATTATTGTAACTTTTTGGAATTTGTCTATTATTATGCATTACTCTATAAGATTCTATATTATTGCATATTATTCCATATTGCTGCATACGATTGTGCACTATTGCATGTTTTTTGTAGGTTACTTCATATTATTGTACATTATTGTATATGATTGGTATACTATTGTAGGCTATTGTATATTATGGTATATTAATGGATATTGCTGTATATTAAGGTATGTTTTTGGATATTGGTGTTTTGTAATTGAATTATTGTAAATTACCGAAGATTATTGTAAGTACTTCTTTTATTAAAAGTGTGTTCGTGTATATTCTTGTCTCTAATTGCATTTTGTTGTATATAGTTGTGAATTATTGTGTTTTTTTTGTATCTTGTTGTGTCGTAATGTATATTTTGCGAAGACAATGCTGGCATCATGGGTTTGGAAGGGATTCATGTGCTTTGAAGCAAGCTTGCCCGGCTAAAAAAAAACAGCGGGGGGGTTGGGTGGGGGGCCCCGTTTGCAAACACAATGCTCGCTTCATGGGTTTGGAAGGGTTTCATACACTTTGAAGCAAGCTTGCCCGGCTCCAGAAGAACAATATAAATATGTATTGTGTACTATGAATTGGACTATATGACTTTATATATATATATACACATACATACATTCATATGCTTTATTATATTTTATCATATTGTATGATATTATACGATATTATATTATATAAAATCGTACTATGTTATCCTATCTTAAATGGTATTATATTATATTATATTATATTGTTTTGTGCTATATGGTACTATAGTAGACTATAGTATATTGCACTGAGCTACATTATATGTACATTTATGTTTATATGTGTATTCAATTATAATATATCATATCATATTCAATTTTATTGCAATGTCTTCTTGCAATATATTATAATATTTTATTTAATTTAGTATATTAATTCTTATCTTATATTATATATTACATATTATAAATTATATATTATATAAGATATATTATATATTATATATATACGTTATATATTATACATTACATATTATATCCTATTTATTATATATTATAGATTAGATAATATATATATATATATTGTATATTATATATTATATATTATGTATTATATAATGTATATTATATTTTATATTCTATTTTACATTACATAATATTATATTATAGTATATTATAAATATAATATTATATATTCTTATATTACAATATACTATGTTTATATAGACTTATATGTATGTACATATATTCTTATGTTGTACTCCATAGTAGCTATACCATTATCATGATGTCCAAAACAAGTACATCAAGAAAAAACAAGAAAATCTGACCACGGGACAGGGAAACCACGGGACCAGAGGACGAGAGGACCACGGGACCGTAGGACCAGAGGACCGCAGGACCAGAGGACCAGGGGACCAGAGGACCAGGGGACCAGGTGACCAGAAGGCCTGGGGCCAACGTTACCAAGGCCACCAAGCCAGGGCCAACGTTAGGAAAAAAAAACACCGGGCCCGGTAAGGGTATAAAAACCCTAAACCCTATAGGGTTTAGAAAGTGTAGGGTTTAGGGTTTAGGGTCCATACTTTGGGGGCTTGGAGGTCTCGGATTCACGGACTCTGTCAGTGACTCTGTGTTGCCGTGAGGGACATCGCTTGTAATGCCTTGTAATCTAGCATGCATCTCCGAAGCCACAGGTCGATGTGCCGTAAAGATGCTCCCATAGCCGACGCCAGAAACACGAATTATACCGACCCCTGCCTAGCTTGTGCTGGACCTGATTGTCAAAAGGCAGCCTCTGGCTTGCTAAATACGAATATATCCTAACATATACGAATATACTCAGAGGTACTAACACGGCGGTCGTCAAACTTAGGATAGCGCCTTCGATCAGAATCACCTCGGGAGCAGGCCGCAAGGTCTGCAGTATCTGCTCGACGCCACGCAGGCCAATCAAGAGTCCGGCGTACTCCATGAGCTCGGGGCAGGATCTTGGATGGTACCTGAGGCTGGTTCACACTGGCTGGGGACACGACACGACAGGAAACCTACCAGTGGGACCGAAGAACTGCTTAGGATCCTTCAAGCACGCGAGTGAAGCGCAAGGCGCAGCATCCACGTCCTGCTGGTTCTTCGATCCGGATGGCCCGTGCCCGCACGCAGCCGACGCAGAATGGCACCTGGCTAATGACAGCAGGCGTTCCGCAACAGTCCCTAACTTGTTGTGAAGCCAGGACCCTGTAGAACTACCCTAGAAATACCCTAAACCCTTGTTTAACATTGTTTAAACTTTAAAACCCCAAAATGTCTAAACCCTAAACTCTACAGAACACCCTACTTTAGCAGAAATGCGGTGCATTCATGTCTTCGTGTCCCGTGCCTGCGCCGCCGGGCCCAGCATTGCCGCCGTCCACACCACCGTCAAAGCACAAGCGGTAAGCCCGTCCTCTGATGGCAAACATCCCCCTCAACATCCCGGCAGCATCCCTACGCTCGGCTTTCAACGAGACGCCTGCCTGAAATCTCGCGATCGCGCATGGAGCGCCGGGCTTCGATCTCATCCGGGCCAAGGGCTGCAGCCTCTGGAGCTCTTGTGGCAGGATGCCCCCTTGCAAGTGGGGTCTCTGCTCCAGCGGATTCCTGAGCAGTCGGGTCTTTGCCCGGGAGAGAGCGAGAGGCTCCCGGCCCGGCTGTTCGCGAGTGAGCGCCGGGCGCCGGCACCCTCGAGCCCAGGGCAGGCTTTCGGGCCAGAATCCTGGGGCTTCGGGAGATATGCTTCAGCGGCTTATTGTGGGAACATGTGGCAAGATGGGGATGGTTTGACTTGCAAGCTTCCTGGAGGAACAAAAAACGGTTCAAAAAAGTGAGGACCGAGACACAAATCCACGGCGCCTTCCAAGTCTTCATGTACCACCCACTCGTCGCCAGACCCCCGGCCAAGCTCCACGAGGCTGCGGAACACCGGCGCACTCCGGCGCTGCACCACGAACTTGCGGCCATCTGCTGATCCTTGGCCGCAAAGCTCTTTGAACTTTGTATATGCTGGGCATACAAGGCTTGTAAAGCTCAGGCTTTCATACACCTTTCCCAGCATGCTCTCTCAAAAGCCCCTTGAAAGGGGCTCAAAGTTTCCCGAACCGATAGCTTGGCGTCTCTGGGCCGTTTGGTCTGCCACCGTGCTCGTCTGGAAGCCACCGAACAAGGATTGCAGTGCGACGTTGTCCATGGCCTCCTTGCGTTTGATTCTGGATGGTAGGGGGACACATATAGATTGACATGTAGACATGTGCTTAATATAATTTACATGCTTCTGTAGAGGTGCATACATATGCATGTTTCTAATCCAGTTCTCCTGCTATCTTACACACGCCATGCAAAGTCCCTTCCCCAAAGACTCCCAAAGTCCTTCAAGTTGTTCGCATGGGCCGTGGCGACTAATGAGATGCCTTTGAAACCGATGCGGCAGGCAGCCTCCACTTCCTGGGCTGAAGAATCAGGCCCAAGAAACTGGACTCTTAGGATTTCCGCCGTAGAGTTTCAACACCTGTTCTGATAGACTAGAAAAAGGCCTCCCACCTGTCAATCGAGCCTCCTCTTGGCTTCCGATCTCGTCGATGACCTGGCTGCCGGGCTTCAAGCTAAGCGTAGAGCCAATTCAACTTCAAACTCGACTTCAAAGGGCATGCACAACTGCCTCTTTACGACAAGCGATCTCTAGAGAAAGCCTCCGGGGCAGTGACAGTGGTTATATGTGTGTGTGTGTGTGTGTGTGTATATGTATGTAAGTTTGCTTGCCTGTCTGTGTTGACCGTATGTCTCACTTTCTGCAGCGAAGTGGCAAGCACCTCCGGTGTATGATTCTGCACCTTACACAGCTTCGGCACAGCTTTGGCAAAACCGAGCCTGGAGCATTGAACGCAACCTCACTGTTGATAGAAACCCGTCCACCCCCAACCGCAAAACAGAAAATGCCAAAGCCACCGCTTCGAGCATGTCCTTGTGCTGGAGACTGCGGTCCGCTACTTGCCTGGGCTGGGCCCTTTAAACTTGAAACCTGCTAGGGTAACAGCAATCCAGGAGTTGTGGTTGCGGACGGGGTTGCCCTGCCTTCTTGCTAGTTTTAGGGTCTTCTCAGGGCCTGGAGGGGGGCCCAAACACTGGCAAAGCAGCGTTTTTGCGAGTGCAACATGCTGCAAAAGGATGGCACCACATGACTCAGCTCTTGACATGTGTGAACCGCCTTAGTTTTCGGGAAATCGTACCAACACCAAGGTTTCGTAGAGCTTTGAGCCGTCCGTATAAAAGGGCAACCTATGCGCCCCTGGTGAGGGTTCATCCTCTTGAACCCATTAAGGCAAAGATATGGGTAGATTTCTGAGGCACCAATTTCCCCAATTTAGAGAACCCCCCCCCCCCAACCCCCTGTACTATAGGGTCCTTCCGGGAAGGGGGTCATGGGGGGGGTAGGTAGCATCCCAACATCCTGCCTAGTTGCATCCTCCGCGTCGTCCGGCCCACCGCGACATGCGCGCTCCTGCCGAACCTGTCGGCTGCGGGCTTAAAGGGTTTCAAGGGGTTTATAAGGTTTAGTGCTCTTAGCTCCTCCCCCAACCAGAATTGCGAAAATGAGCAAATTAGGCGAATGGAGTCATTTACGCGGAAGTTTACACTTCAGGAGTGCGCATTCAACTTTTTCAGTCAAAACACGAAACAGCATCAAAACAGCATCACGACAACCGCAAAAAACACATTCCCAACTATCAATATTCAGAGCCATGGATTGCGCGAGCAAAGTTGTAGGAATTCGACCCTTGAGCGGTTTGTGTGTCCTTTACTTGTGATGTCCACCTTTGCACCCGAACTAAACAAACCCTTTGCAGATGGCACATTTTACTTGCCAAGCCTTCAAAGGTGTTTGGGTTCTAAGCTTTGGTTTGTTTTCTCACAGTTCTGGGGGTCCGTAGGCTTAGGGGTTTCAAGACTTAAGGGTTCAGAACGTTCAGGAATTGAACGGCTTCAACATTGAAGAGCTGACGGCATGATAGACTTAATGTTGAAAGGCTTCTGGGTCAAATCCATAGGGGGCTGAAAGGGTTGAAACGGTTCAGGGGTGTTCTGTTGCCCCCCGGCCTAGGTGTGTTTGGGTTTCTCAAGGCTTGGGCTGCACGATAGGGTTCAGGGGTTTACTAAGTGTACACGCTGTGGGGGTCGACTCAGGGCTTGTTCTTGAGGATTTCATTGCCTGTTTTTGGTGGTTGAAGCCGCTTTTTCTTGAACAAGTTTCATCACAAGCATGCTGTGTGTGTGCGTCGAAAGTCAGTTCACAACTTGTCGAAAGTTAAATGCAAGAGCCGCAGGCTGGTGAAAATTAAAGGCCCGGCTCTGTGCTGTTTAACCATCCCATCACATACATGCAGGTAGAAGCTTTGTAGATTTCGACCCTCACGCGCGCGCACGGCAGGCAAGGCTTCGGAAGGTCTCGGTTGCTCAGGGCTACTTGAGGAGCGAATGCACATGTTATCAGGAGCCCTGCGTTCAGCCTCAGGCCCGTTGATGTGCCACGGGGCACCAGGCTGGCAGGGTGTCACACTGCTACTGTATACTGTACACCAGCTTTGCAAAGCAGAGGATGCTGAGTTATGCATTGCTCGCTGTACAACAGAATTGTGCTTCCCAAAGTCCCTTGGGTGCAAGGGCTGCTAGGGCCTCTGCTAGGGATCTTTGCATGCAATCACATCGTCCGCGACAGCGGCTCCGACAAACAAGTTGCCCGAGTTGACCACAACGACCGTGAGCAAGCTTAACAGTGTCCCGGCGCTGTGCTTCAGGCTCTGCGGCACTTCGGGCGCATCCCCGATGTATCTGTAGGCCATGGTGACCAGGTACCCTTCCAAGCCACCGCAGGCCGCGTAGGATGCCATGTAGAGCATGCCACCAGCCTGGCTGGTCCAGAAGCCACGCCAGAGCCCCGCCGCTGCCGTGCAAAGCAGGAAGCAGAAAAGGTACTGCAGCAGACAAAGGCAGTTAAAGATCGGCCGGGGGCATGCAGCCAAGGAGGAGAACACAGAGCCAATAGGGACCAGAATCTGGGAGAGGGTGAGGGAGACTCGCCAGATGAAGCGGCCGACCTTGCCATCACATCCAACAGGGTCGGCCATCTCCGCGCCAATCTGGCCCAGGGTTCCAGCCAAGCACCACTGAGTGATCTGCGTCAGCGTCGCGAGCACCACGGGCACGATGAGCTGGCGTGGGCACTGGAGGCCCGACAGCTGCGCCTGGCAGAAATTTTGCGGTGCCTCCTGGGCATTGCCTTTGGTGCTTGCGCTGCTCGATTCGAACGCCGTGCTTGAATCCATCCCCTCCTCGTCCACCTGCAACTCATGAGCCTCTTTGCTCTTCGGGTCCTCCTGCTCCCTGAGCCCGATGCCCTTCCAAAGGATCACTGCCCAGGCAACCAGGCCGAGGCAGCTGATCAGGGTGTAGAAGACAAAGAGCAGCCACGTGGGAAACGTCTGGGCTCCGCCGGCCGGGCTCTGCAACTGCGCCAGGAAGGTGGTGAACATGCTCGAAAGGTCCGTGCCCGCCCGCACCGGAGCCACCAGCCAACCGCCGTAGTAGGTCACAATCAGCGGAAAGAGCATCAGAATTGAGCAGTTGCCCACGATCGACCCAGTCACAGCGGTTGTCAAGACCATCGGATAGCCTGGCGGGCAGACATCCCAAGCCGCGGCTAACATTGCAAAGCTCGCCGTAGCGAGCAGGATCACCGAAGTGCTCCACGTCTGCTCAGCACGCCGTGAAGGCTTGCCACAGGCCACCATCCAAAGGAGGTAAAAGCCACATAGGAGCAGGCTGACAATGGAGCCAACTAGTGCGACCTCACCCGTCATCTTTCCTCCTTTAGACACGTCTGGCTCGTTGGCGATGAGGTTGAGCAGACCATTGATGACAAACCAGCCACTGGCGGTTCCAACCGAGAGGAAAGCCGCGTAGACGATGCCAACTTGCTGGCCAGGCATGCTGCGCAAGGCAGCCCCGGGTACTGCTCAGTCAGTGGGGCGCTTGAGAAAAAACATGGTTTGGTTTTAGGGGTCTGGAGGGGTTAGAGGCGTCTTGTTATTCTTGGGGTCTGGGCTTTCTAGGGTTTGGGGTGTTCGACCTGCATCTCAAAAACTTCATGAAAACCAGATCTACAATGTTAACCTTTGCTAACTATGATCAAGAAGCCCACCAAAATTCAGAAGTGCAACTACCGGCGAAGAGCAATGGGCCACTGCATCATCCGTCAGTTCTAACCAACACAGCCACGCGGCCCGCAGATCTCGCTAGAGGTGTCGATGACAAACACGCGCCGATTGAACTCTTCGCCTGGCATGGTCCAAGCCATGTTAGTGTTGAGTCCGGGCCTACATTCCCTGCTGGTCAGTTTGGGAAAAGGACATATAGACCTCCAGCGAAAATCGCAAAGGCCGAGAAGCAGCAAGTGAATGACCCATGCGAAGGTGAACAGCGCAGCTTATAGCTAGGGACCTATACGTGCGCATCCTGAACACCAGAAGTTCAGGAAAAGGTGGAGACCTCTAGGCACTCTTGTCACCCAGTTGCTGAGAGAGCGCGCCACTTCGCGCAACAGAGTCGTCTTGCCAGAGCCGGGGGGCCCGAGAACCAGCAAAGATTTACCATCCTCCATGCATGCTTGCATGCTGGAGAAGAGATGAAAGTCTGTTTGGGGGGAGGGGACATAGGTGTGGCAGGAGTACATGGTGGAGATATTGAGGCGCCCAAGACTTCTGTGTAGGTAACACCGATGGCCAAGTGCGGTCCTCGATCACTCTGCGCAGCTGCGGCACCTTCTCCGTGAGGCCATACATGGGGTGTGCCATGCGCAGCGTCAGCCCCGTCAAAGATCCTGGGCTGTTCAAGGTGGACCGGGAGGAGTTCAGCTGGACTAACTATCTGACTATCTTCTGAAACTTCGGGAAACAATCCAATCAGAGCTTTGGCCAAAACAAGCTCAAGAGAAAGGTTCCGCCACCATAGTGGTCGACAATGCGCGCGACCCGGTGGAGGGTGCCCGAAATCCCCGACCGGTTGTCCTGGAAGCTTCGAAGCCGAGTCTGCTTTCTGAAGTTCAAAGGAAGCAGACGTTCGGTTGGTGTGCACACGTCGAAAGATCCTCAACCCCCAAAAAATGCATTGAAGCTGCCAGCTGCTGATCGTGCGAGCACAGGAACAGCCTAAACATCATGCTAAGGCCAGCCGAGTGCTACCGAGCCCAAAAGCTTCCGAACTGAGGTTGCCCATCTTTGCCTGACGCATGGTCAAACACACCTCGTCCCCTGCGGACAAGAAACTCCCAACCAGCTGTGATTCCAAAAGACCACCAAAAGCGCAACAACAAAGCAACATCAGGCTAATTTCTTAAGGATGTTCAACACGTCACTATACCACTGCTGGTCCTTCGTCCATCGTCCTGCCAGTAACTCGTGGGCTTCTGCGGCATCCAAGTCGCCTTGGGTGACGAGTGGGCAGCCGTCCAGCACGCGCTTGCGGAGATTTCCTTGGTTTTGGCCAGGTCGCCAATTGAGACAGAAGTACAACAATGATGGTGAGCACCGTAGGAGCATTACGTTGAGAAACCCGATTTCATGCTAAAGCCAACAAGATTACCAAAAAATGGGAAACGATGCTGTTGATTGGAACTATGCTCCCTGGTCATCTCGCTCGTGGACCACAGGTTTCCGGTCCAAGTCCAGCACCACATCCACCAAGCAGGCAGAGTTCAATTGGGGTCGAATGTGCTCCTGAGTGCCAAAAGTTTGTGCGCCCTGAACAGATCAACCACCCATTGTGGTAATAGCTTGAAGCCGCGGCGCAGGCAGCAGCGACAGCATGCGCACATCTTCCAGGCTCGACAGAAAGAGCTGCGTGCCGTCAACCACCAGCTCCTGTTCCCGAGTCACAGACGCAGTATCTGCTATACTCCCCTTAGTAAAAATCACATTCTTAATATCCTCTTGGGTTTAATATAAACAAAACATGAAAAAGAATCCCCAAGGGGCATAAAGTCGGCTGCTCTAGCTCCGGCACACCCCACCACCCCGTGAACGTCTACCAGAAACCGCCCCAAAAAAACACAAACCACAAAGCTGCATCGAAGGAAGCTACAAGAACCCCGTTCCTAGGACCATTCTGGGGTTCCCGAAAATTGGGGGTGGGGCCCTTTAAAGGGGATGATCTTCTATTTGGGGTATAAAGAGGGCACGCATTTTCCGGGGACCAAGACATCCAGGCCTCGGGTTCAAGCTTCGAGGACTGCGACGATGAGAAGAGATGCCTGGACTCCGCGGTGTCCATTGAAGAGGTTGTGGAATCTTATCGCCCCTACTGGAGTAATGGTTTCTGGGGTTTAGGGTTTTGGGTTTAGGGCTCCTAGTGTTCGCCCCGTAACAGGTGACCTGACGTCGACCCAGGGCTTGCAAGGCTGAGGGCCTGTTTTGGGTCATGGTCCGCAATTGTCTGTGCTTTTGCCATGCTGAAACATTCTGAAACCCTCGATGCACGAAGTTCTCAAGTAAACCGATGAAACCTAATCTAAAAATCCCTAACCTCTGATCCCTCAATCGAGAATCCTACCCTAAACCCTAAGCCTACATTATCAAAATCCCTAAGCGCATGCTTCCTCCTTCAAGATGCCCACACCTCTGAACCTTCATTCAAGACTCCCAAGAAGCCTCAATAAGACTATGAATTTGGGATGTTCCCTTATACTAACAGTTATTCATAAGGATTATGGTAGGGGGTACTATAATCCCGATTAAGGATTGTCAGAAAAAAAGCGGGAACATCCCAACTATCAAACCGAATTCGAAAGTACCTGAAGGGAGTCCGAAGCGCTGAGCACCATGCTCCACGCCCTCGAGCTCCTCGTGCAGGGAGCTTGTTTCTGTGTGTAAGGGTGCCTTCGAAAAAAGCAAGGTATGCGGTATGCGCAAATACATGTATTGCACTTGCAAACTTCAATTATTAAAAATGTGGGCATATACATATTAAATAGAGAGAGAGAGAGAGAGAGACAGAGAGAGAGAGAGAGCGAGGTGGATATGCAAACGTAGTGTGCTTCTTGAGGGTTCGCTGTCTGTTTTGCGCTGGCACTAAGCTCCGAAGGAAATCCATCCTCGAAGCTTGGTGTCGAGCTTCGGGTGCTCATTCTGCATTTTGCGTTGGGACTCCTCCCTAAACCCTCATCAGACCTCCTAGACCCTAACTTGAAACGGTTGTTGAAGCATGCCCTTAAAGATCCGGAGCTCTTGGTTATTGGGCTTATATGGTTTTGGCTTGAAGGGGTATCTGACGAATTGGGGTGGTGTACTTTTCTGGTGGCTCTTGCAATAAGGATTACGCTCGACTATTCACGGGTAACAAAGAGGGACTCTGCGCGGATATCTCGAGCTCACCAGGGTCCACCTTCCACCACCCGCCATGCGCTGCGGGGCAAACTGCAGAAGGGTCTGTAAAACCCTAACCCTTTACCCCTAAACCCTAAGCTCTAAGCCCCAAGCTCAAAGCCCTTTTGAACCTGGCAACCGTTTCATGCCAAACCCTAGACCCCACCGCAGGGTCCTCCAACTTGGCCATTACCTGGGCAATAGTGCTGTCCACAGGCAGGCTCCTGAGCCATTCAAGAGGCTTCTTAGGCTGCTGTGTTCAGGTAGGGTGCACTTGGTGTGCCGGGGTACCTCGCACTAAAGAATCTGTATGTTAGTGGAACAAGCCCAGTTTCGGTAGCAAACCGAACATTTGGGAACGGTTTCTGCATTCATGTGGGCCCAAACAACCTTGAAGTCACTCTTTGCCGTGTCGGGCCCCCCTGAAAAAACCACCCCTATTCGGTCGGGTAGTGCGGCAGGGCAACAGCGTCAGCTCAACTCCGCGAGCCATGATGCAAACGAAGACGCGGATACCTCGGCGTGTCGACTGCGACCTTCTCTCTCCGTCTTCGTCTTATACATGTCTTCAAGGGCTCGAGACGGTGTAGAAATGGCTCAAACTGGGGTCGGCTTTGGTGTTTTTGCTGCTTCGGATCCTGGGGATTCATGTGAACATGGGGGCGCTGAGGAAGCGAAGGGATTGATGCATGCCCACAGGAAGATTTTCTTGGGCTCCCCGTCCGGGGCTTCCCTTTATCACGTGGCACAAGTTAATGCAGGCCTTGCGGATGGGAATCCACCGGAAAATGACACCCGGCAAGACTTTGCAATCAAATAGAGTTCAGGGTTCAGGGTTGAGGACGCAAACGGCTTCTCCAACGGTAGAACAGGCAGAAATGTGCGTGGTGCGCGATGTGAGGTTGCAATGGTGTACGGGCAACGCATGCACCTCGGACTGCAAATAGCGGTTGCCCCATGTAAGCTATTCTTGGATGCTGCCGGTGTACAATCTTCATCTTCGGCACCGCTGTCTCTGTCAGTGTCCTCATCGGGCTCGGCATTTTTCAGTGCACTCAAATGTCCAGATCTAGAACTCTAAAGCATCAGGTCCAAAGCAGCCAGAAGTCCCTTTTGGCGACATGGCTCAAGAGCTCGGGCTACCAAAAGAAACCAAAAAAGTTCGTAAACCCTAAAGTACAAACCACCACCCGCAGCTTTCGGCCTCCGCTTCGGGCTGCGCCTCCCTCCCTGAATCCGGCTGCGATGTTGCGGCGTCACTTCCTGCCTGCAGCAGATCCAGACTTGGGGGTTTGTACTGCCTTAGACGGTTGCCGGAGTGTAGGATTTAGGCGGTAGTCTGCCAGCCGCCGTTATCACAAAATTGAGCCGGCCGCTGAAGAGCTTTCCGACAAGGCAATGAGACATGCTGGGCACAGGTTTTGGGCTTAGAGGTGCAGAGTTTAGGTGTCTAGAGTCTAGAGGTTGAGGCTTCATGGGCATAGTTCAGGAGTAGGATTATGAGACCCCCGAACAGAGTGCTAACCAGTTATCAGCTATCACTGTAGCTACCAGTAGCTGCCCTCCTTAACCCCAGATCTCAATCCACCCCAGTGCTGGTGGAATGCCCAGTATCCTTACAATGCACTATACTCCATTACCCCCCTCGACTTGCGCGCACATCCAAGAGACCTGTCGTTTTTGGCAAACAAACCCCTTGGGGCAAGCCCTTTCACATCAGGCTTGCGAAATCCCAACTCCAAACTCAACCCCCTCAAATCACTTTTGCTGGCTGTGCTCGTTTCTGGGCTCCGGCTCTCTCACTGTCTAATCCGAGAAGGCCTAACCCCCACTAAGCCCCAAGCTCTCACCCCTCGATGCTCTGCGGGCCTTGGCTTCATGCAGCCCTTGGTCGACCAACTTCCTTAGGCCTGTGGCCAGAAGGATGCTATGGCCTGCCAGCAAGGAGGCTCTCAACAGGCGATACAAAGTATAAAAAAGAAAACAGGCTCCTACATGGTCGTACATTTTGCTGAGACCCCGTCGGCCTGTCTCATGGAGCCTGATTTTCCAGAGGAAGCCCTCATCCAGCTTGAAAGGCCTCAAGAATCGCATCTGGGACACGCAAGAACAAGGGCTCACTCCCACCACCCCCCCCCCCCCCCCCCCCCGGCTCTGAAAACAGTCTGCCTCTCTCTCTCTCTCGCGCGCTCCGTCTCTCTGTATCTCTGTCTCTCTATCTCTGATGCTAGGAGATACTGTCAATGACTGACCCCACTCAGTTTTTCATCACCAACAGAGCCGATCCAGGCTCGGCCATGCACCCCATGCCCAAACGGCCGGGGCGCTGGGAGTCGAAATCCTCGATGGCCCCGTTAATGAACTCAGACCAGCTGCTGTAATGCCAGGAGATCGCCTGCGGGGACTCAACACCAAAAAAGGGTCCGGACAAAAGGGGGGGCAGAGTGCTTTCTGTAAGGCTTCCGTCACAGAACTTTTCTGAAGAGGGGGTGCCCGGGCCCCCCGATGTAGAGCGCTGACTCCCTGAGGCCTCCTTGAACTGCCGCATCTCCCCTTGACCTCGATCCAGGCCCAGGAGCCAATCGGCGAGCTCCGTTTCGAAGCCTTGAGAGGCAATAGCGGCGTGTTTAGCCTGCCCCCCACCCCCCCCCCTCCCTTTAATAAACGCCCCCTTTCATAAGGGCCTACCCTTATGGTTAAAGGGACTTCCAGTATAGTGTTAAAGGGTAGTTGGGGGGTGCTGGACGGTTTAGGGTCTTTGTAAGGGGGCAGCCTTCTCTGCATGGGCCGGCGGTGTAGGTGGTGGTCTGCATGGCCCTTCTGCTACTGTTGCATCTTCGGCTGATCAACTTCGGAAACAACCTTTTGAGATTCGGGAGTTGGCATAACAAAAGGCACGCGTGGGGAAGACTAGACTTTGAACAGAAGCACAAACAGCTTCTAAGTCAGAGAACCTACTGAGAACCTGTTCCGCCAAAAGGACGCTGCATACCTGTCTTGCGTTTTCGCCAAACCATCCCCAGCCCAAATAAACCCTGAAGCCTGTTGTGAACCAGGAGGCTCTGGACCCTAAACGCTAAACCCTGAACCTTAAACCCTAAACCCTAAACCCTGAACCTAAAATCCTAAACCCTAAACCCTCAATAGCCCCTCAACACGAGAACCATCTTTGGTCCAAGAGGCGCTGGTGCACCGGAGATGCTCTTTCCCTGTGCTGGCAACTCAGCGTGTGTGCGGTTGTATACTTCCGTGTGGCGTGCTTATATAAGGGGATAAGATTTGTTGCTTCTAAGGGCGTACGACTTGTTTCTCGTTGCTTTGGTTTTTTTTGGGGGGGAAGGTATAAAGTCAGGAGGAGCCCATGAGCCCAAGTCGGGAGGAGGATTCGGCTGCTGCCCACCTGCCCCATGAGTTGCTGCCCCGATTTGCGTAGGAGTCTTCCCAGCTCCATGTGGTCCATGTGTTCCTTCGGCGCTTACTTCAGGGGTTCCGGGTTTGTGGTTAAGTTGACAGCAGTTTGCAGATTCTCACAGTTTTTGACACTTGAGAGTGCCAAAATGACAAGACGGTCCTTTCCCAAAGGCTGTTCTGGGCAGCCGCAGGCTCCTCCCAGTCCCAGGCTGGCCTACCCTTTCCCTTGCCGGCACTGTGCTTCACGGCCACATTGGTGGCTCTGGTCCGGCCGCTGCGTGCGTCTTCCTCGATGTCGAAGGCGATCTCAACCCCCTGAACCAAGTCGTCCGGATCGCCCTCGATCAGCTGGGAGGAGTGCAGAAAAACATCGCCCGAGCCATCAGAGTTTTCGATGAAGCCATAGCCCTTGTCTGCCAAGAACCGCTTCAATCTTCCAGCGTGCGCCATTGCTGGGAGCAGCGGGGCTTGAACGGGATCAGGGCACCAGGCGTGTCCAGCCAAAAAAAGCAAAAGCCCGATGTGCAACAACAACCAAAAACAGCCCGAACCCCCCAAAAACATTCGATACAGAAGATCCCCTGAAGGCAAGGACCCAAACTTCTGAAGCCTCTCCGTCTCCGGGTTTCTGCTAAGGGATTCAGAGCTGTTTCGCCCTAACCACAAACAGGGCTGACGCGCTGTAGGCATTGGCCCTTCGCCATTTTAAGTGTGGGTTTTGCTGTTGCTGGGTGGCTCAAGCCTGCTTGCAGTTCATGGACAATGTAATATAAGGTGGGATGCAACCAGAAGACTTTTGAGCTTTGTGTGGCTTCTCAAGGGTTTGGTGTGCAAAGCGCTGTGCCCTGAAACAGGCTTGCAGTCTATCCGATCGAGTTGGAAGCGCTTTGCCTCGTGGCCTTGCACCGTCCGACTGCAGAGACCATACAGGGACGACGATCCCAGACTCGGCGTCGGCGCACAGATCGCCCAGCACAGCTAGCAGGTGACATCTTCAATCTTGCTTGGCAGCATTCGTGGAGAAGAAGTCCTCGATCAAAGGCAGCATCTCCGATGCTACTTCTTCTGAGTCCTGAAGGCGAAGATAGGTGTCAAAGTCAAGCACCGGGACCTTCAGGGCCCGTGCAACGGGCAGCAAGGGCGAAAGTAAAGAAATCATGGCGTTGTTGGTCTCCGCGGATAAGAAAGAAATATGGCAGGGGGCTTGTTCCCCTGGCTTGAAGGCTCGGCGCAGAAGGACTGCGCCTGAGGATTGTGAAAGGTCACAGTTCTTTGGATCTTCCACACAGGGGGTCCCGCTGGGTATAGCCTGGAGAACTCGTTCGAGCCGCACGACACCGTCACCCTCGGACGCGATGACGAGTAAAGGATCCGGGCCAGCATATCCGGGAGCCAGACCAGCAACGGCAACGCGGCCACAGACCTAGGCTGCTCCTTGAACGTCGAGCGTTGCTCACAGAACAGAATGCTTGTAATCATCGAAGATGCATCAAGAATAAGTCTTAGTGAAACGAGCCTGCAAGAACATTCAAGCAGCAAATGGGCCTGGGGAAACGGTCGCAGTGCCTCCGCCTGCAGAGTGGCCAACAATTCCAAATTGCTGGGCGCCCCAACCTCTTCGAAGCTTTGCTAACAGCTCTGAGACAATGTCACGTCTTGGCCTGGGTGCACCAAGGATGGAAGCTCATCTTGTCATTCCAGCGCCCCACTTGACCCCTAAATGAACTCAGGGTTTTGTGCTTCAGGGACTTTGATGTGATTTCTTATTTTTTTACTTTTTAGCTTTGTGTTCTTTAGGAAATGTATGACAGATGTTTACAGCCAAGTGGCAGTTCAGACACAGCGCCCGAGAGGCCCTCTGAGAAGTCCGGGGAGGCCACGATGAATCCCTGGCTCGCCAGGCGCTCGCAGAGGTGCAGCATATCGAAGCGGCTGCCCAGATATCCGTGGGCAAAGATGATGGCGCAGTTCCTCAGTGACTCAGGCTGGAGCACCTACTACACGCGTGGTGAGAGCGGTACTCAGCCCTTGAACCCACAAAAACCCAACAAACCTTGCCTTGCATAACTGCGTCAACCCTGCAACCAATTTAAAACCTCAGCTTTGGCCAGTCTCTGCGGGCGAAGCCCAGCGGAAGTCCGGAGCTGCTGCAGCCTCGTGGGAACATCGGAGGCGGCGGAAGTGTCTGGCACCAAGGCCGGCGCATCCGCGAAGATGGGCAGGCCAGCCTCCCCACAGTGGATTTTTTGTTGATTGGGGTCCTCTCGGAACGGGTATCTTCCCCAAACTCTGACCCTTTTCATCCCTCAATCCAACTTGTTCAAGGGGATGTTTTGGATGTTTTGGGGCTTTTGTTGTTTACGGCTGAGTGGCTGAGGTCTTGGTCTCAACTGGCTTCCGAACACTAACAGTGCCAGGTCTAGGTTGATCCAAATGCTGGACATTCTTAACCACGAATTTTGTATACATACTGTATTTGAGACCCAACACGTCAAATATTTGGGGGCACCCCACGTAAGAATACAAGGGGGCTCGAGCGCTTCGGCACTTTTTAAAGCCGAGTTGCCTCTTAATCCCTTTTGAAGGCAAAAGAGTCCGGGCCCTCAATCCTGAGCACCCAACCCCTAAAGGCTCCAATCGCTCGTCGATCTCTCCACCTGCTCTGCAACAATGTATCTCCCCATAGTACAATACCGATGATGACCTAAATTGCTATGTGTATAAATCTACATATGTATAGCCACGATGTAACCTACAGAAACTACTATGACATTACTATGACTCGCAGCAGATATTATGAAGCCTCGCTTTTCATCTCTCCGAAGGCCTGTAGGTCGAACTCCCAGCCCACTGACCGCGGCAGCAGCGCGCCTTGCAAGACCTCCGCAGTTCTGGAAACGAACCCTTAGGGTTTAGGGTTTAGGGTTGCTCCCCAAACCCTAAGCCTACACCCTGTTGCTGCCGGGCTGTTTCAGCAAGCCCTAAACCCTAAACCGCAAGAAAGGGTCGCGGGCTTAATGCACTGGCTCGTCTGCAGTATTGTGGAAACCGGTATTCAAAAGCCGTACTAAATAGGGCTTGGGTATCTGATTCCAGAATCGTACTTCAAACACAAACCTCCTGGTGAAGGCGGCGCAGGGGAAGTGGACATCTCAAGAATGCAACACAGGACTCCCCCAAAAAAATCGCTTTGTGGGCATTAAGAGACTCGCATGCAACAGAGCGGACAGCCTGCTATAGGGCAAGACGGGCGACTGTATTTCCCTCTTAAGACACGGGGGGGTGGTGCCTCCACGATCTTGCCCACACTGATAAAGTGCTGGTAAGGCTTCTTGTCCTCCAGATACACTACTCAGGGTCTCAGCAAGCTTTATAGGGTTAGGAAATGCCAGGTCTCGGGACTTGAACGCAGACAGAGTCTACTCTGCTCTATGGTGGCGTGGGGGCGGGGAGTTTGGCTCTGGTGGTCCGCGGCGATGCGCGCAGCTGCTTTGCCCACTTGTGCTGGATACCAGACGCTCGTCGGCACCTGCCAGGATGGGCTAAATTATGCCCCACCCCTGAAAAAAGGCCGTTTGCAGGGTTGATTATGGGGATTGCAAGGCCAGATAGCCCACCCTTCCACACTGCCGAGAGTGGCCATTTGCAGCGCATAGTATGGAAACCCTAAGTTCCCAAATGCCTCGACACCCCATTGTCAAGGGAGCAGGGCACCTGCTTCGCACCCACCTGAAGCTGAATCGATCGATAGCCCACAGGCGCCGGCGTGTAGGCCCCTGCAAAATGCTGGGAAAGATGTTGTTCTGGGTTTGGAAGGGAATAAGGCAGAAGCTATGATCAACTGAGAGTGATCGTACCGTGGACTAGTCGGCAAGCATGCCTTGACAGATTTCCTGACGTTGTGTTGAGTGCACACGCACATATTATATATATATATATATGTATATTATATGTATAGATGTATAAACAGACAGAAAGTTGTCTAACACGTAAAGATGCGTGGGCAAAAAACCCCCAGACAGGTCTCCCAGAACGGCGTTGCTACTGTATCTGATTCATCTGCGTGTACGGCCCCAAGCAACACTCAGCAGGCGGCTGCATCTGTCTCCATTGGACGCTTTGATCCGATCCGAGCTTTCGTAAACCCTCCTCGTTCTTGCATTGCACTCCACCCTGAGGCCCGAGAACTGCAATGCGGAACATCATGCCCCCCCCCCCCCCCCCCTCGCCCCCGCCCCCAAACCATGTTCCAAGGAGCTTTCTGCCACGGCGGGCCCTTCTGCTGAGAAGAGTGCCACGGAACAGGTGGCAAGGCCCAGCGATATCCGCCGAAGCAGGCTCCTTGAAAGATGCGGCACAGCTTGGACATGAAACGGCTCTGCTGTTTTCTTAGCAACCCCATTATTACACTCCTATAGAATCCCAGAACCGAAGCCGAAGCCTAAAATCTCTAATCCCTTTTCCTACAAAGCTCCCTGGGCTCCTGGGAACCACGCGAGCGTAGCTGGCGACCATGACCGGGCTCGCGCACCAACAGGGGCTTCTCAAGCTATCGGGTGTGGGGTAACGCAAGGGCTGCCAGGGCCAGTGGGTCCCCTACCATCACGTGTGCGACTCTGGTGCCTCAACATGGTGAGACTAGACTGTCGTGGTGCGAGGGCTTGATAGTATTCACCTGCAAGGACCGCTCTTCAAAACGGTCCCTAAACGCAACATGCAGGATTTCGGGAGCAGAAGCGGCGATGTCATGTTGGAGGCCAATCCCCCACGAAACCGATGCTGCAAAAGGAACGAACTTGAACATAACTTCCCACACAGCTACCTCATATCCGTGCCAGACATCACCTATAGCCAAGTCGCTGGACAGTGCGTTCGCCAGCGCATGCCATCTCTCTGTCCCTCCTGCTGAATAATCAGCTCCGCCGGAACTGAAAGCGTGAGCTCTAAGCCAAACCCCGCCCTCTAAGACGCACGTCTAAGCCAAAACCCGCCTTGCAAGATGAACCTCTAAGCCAAACCTGGCCAAGTATCGCAGTCAGTCATGCTTGCACGTGGAAGGCACAGGCAGTTCTGAAACCATTGAACATCAAGCACCCTGAGCCCATAACTCGTCATGGATGAACATTGTCAGCCTCTTAAGTGCAAGATATCACAAACCGAAATTGCAACTCTGCTTCATGACGCGGCAACCCAGCAGGTCACTATCCAGATGATTCAGGGGGGTATGGCGGCTCAGTTCTGAGGGCGTAAAGAGTTGTGGGTTCTAGTTTTTGGGATGCGAATTGAGGGTGGACCTACAAGCACGCTTTGGGTTTAGGGGTGTTTAGGGGTTGAGGGAACAGATCTCGAAGCCCATGGCCCAGCTTTGTGGTCCTTTTTGCCTCCAGCGTGAAATTCTGACAGCGCAAGCGGCGCAGCCTGCTGAGTCTTTGCTCTGAGCCGTCAAGGCCGCGGATGTGACGGTCCTTCTGCCAGAGAGATGATGACAAGCCTCCTACAGAAACATCTCCCAAGAAGCCCTTTGTTGGGAAGCTCCTGTGGAAGCTTGCTCGTTTCGAGCACACTCTTTGCGGGCCTTCGGGCAAAGGCAGCCACGTAGGGCGTGTCCTCGTTCATTAACACACAGGGTGCGGTGACCCCTGCACTAGGGATCGTCAGGCACCCGCGGACAAAGACGCTTGAGCAGCCTGTGCTTGAGAGATTGCCTTCTGGCGCTGCGGACGGTGGCTGCAGGCCACCGTGGGTTTGGCAACGAAACGGAACGCTGCCACGCGAAAAAGCCAGGCCACGAGCAAGCAAGGGGCTACTCATGCACACAACTTACACTCATCACCAGCCTTGGTGACAAGCTTTCGAAGACCGAAGACCCAGGCAGGCATGCCATCGCCGCCGCATTGGACATTGGTATGGTAGATAGCGGCCTCTAAGCTTGACCACCTTCCGGCTGCTTCTGGGCTTGCTCACCTCAGCTGCGAATGCACTTGAGCCATGCGAGCCATGCGCACAGTGCGTCGGAAGCTGCACCGAGCGACTATGCTGCGCCTATGGGCCTTTGGGGCCTATGGACCAAGGCGTTGGGGCGAAGCTTCCCAGGCTTCCAAAGCTTCCGAGCTGTTGCCATCATGCCCTATAGGAGGCTCTGGAGGCCCTGGAGACTACAGTCCATCTGTGGGCCCCGCCACTAAATGCACTAGCTCAACCCCCGGCTCACCTCCCAAGCCAGGCTTCAGGACCGAGCCCTTAGAGCGCTCCTCTGCCAGGCCTTGGCCTGCTTTGAGGCGGCTTCTAGAGCACAACAGTACTCTGCATGCTCGGTGCCTTCGAGGTCTGCGTATGTTCGGACCTCCTTCGAGGCAACCAAAGCCGCACGCTCACTTTCTGCACTTGCCCCTCATGGCTCATGCCTTCAAACACGCTGCAGAAAGCAGGCGCAACTTTCAGAGCCCGGAGCCCTTCCGCCGACAACGGCAGGGAGCGGCGCGGGGAGCGGCGCGGAGCGGCGGGAAGCCTCTCACAGCACGACGCAGGCCCCGCAACACGACGCAGCGCGGCGCAGAGGCATGGGCATCCATCCCCCCCGGGAGAGATATCGGCTCTGCAAGGCCAAGCCCCAAGCCCTGCCTGAGCAGCCTGCATGAGCAGTCACTGCGAAACCCCCTTGAGCCCTGTTGCACCCGTAACCGCCTTTGGCATCTCTTGGGGGCTGTAACCCCGAAACTGCCCGAAACCCTCTCAGAAGTCTCAGATCTGGACCATAGTGACGTATGTCGCGCTAGACGCACTAGACAACAGCCAAGACCACAGCCACAGGTGCAGGCAAGAATCGCAAGGTCAGCGATTGAGAGCCTGCTATCTTCGCCTGCAGACTCTCGACGGGGAGGATGCTGAAGCTCAATGCTCTTTGAAGTCACTCTACCCGCGTGTCAGCAGACACACACCGAGCCCACAAGGCCCTCCAACTATCGAGACGTGCACCGGCTTTCAGAAAGCCTTCACGAAGGGCCTTGAAGGGCGCCAGGCGCAACGTCGTTGGGCCCCGCGTGCGCACGCGCGACATGGTGCGACGTGGTGCCCGGGCGCATGTGCGAGAACCTAAAGTCGTCGAAGTTCTACAGCCTTTTGAGGTTCTGGGAAGTGAGTATAGAGGTTGCGCTGAGATGCGCTTATCAAGCATGCGATGGCCGGGCTCTCGGTCCGAAGCTGCAGCGGCTGCGGCTGTCGCGGCGGGCGCTGGCAGGGACAGGCTGGGCCGGGCCCCATTGCCGCTGTCTGCCTACCGCCCTGGGTGGCGGTCGAAGCCGTACAAGCACAGTCAGCGCACCGGTGCCGGTGCGCCGCGTCTGCCACGTCCCGCAAGGCTCAAAGAGAGCACTGCAGCACTGGAACACCGAGGGCCTGAGCCTGGGCCTGGTGTGGCTGAGAACTCTCTCGGCTCTCCCATCTTCCTGGGGCCAGACTCGCCCGACGGGAATGGCCGTTTTTTTCTTACGGCCTGGGCCCGGGACTGGGCCTGGGCTGGGCCTGGGGCGCTTCCATGTCACAGAGCAGACAGAGCAGACAGAGCAAGAAAGCAATAGGGCGATACAGGGGCTGGATGTGGGTCATGGTTCAGGCATTTCAGGTATTGAGGTAATGACTAACAGTGGGCAAATCTGGCCTTGGTTGGCAAGGCTTCCAAGGTGTGCGACATGCTGATGTGCTGACTTCTGGAGATCTCTGCGCTTAAACGCGGGCATGCGGCATGCGGCATGCCCCCGAACCAGAACCTTCTGATCTTGAGGCCACTAAGCTGCAAGAATTCCTCTCCACTTTGCATCGTCTGCTTAGTGGGGAGCCTCGCATTGAGTTCAAGCACAGTCTGTCAGTTGATGGGTCTCAACCTGGAGGTTCAGGTGAGGGCTACAAGAGAACCCAATCTCCGCAACTTTTGCGGCGCGTTTTAGAACAACTGCGGCATTGATGAGCATGGGATCAGACGTGTTTACTTGGCAAACATTAAGTTAAAACTGACCACCGGCCTGCGACCACTTCCCTGAACACGTTCTCGGAACATAGATAATCTTGTGGAGTCGGAACTCATGCACATCAACGAGAACTATGTTTTATCGGATGTTTTAGCTTCCTTCCCGGACATATCTTAGGCCATAGGTGGCCTTCCAAAGTGATAATACTCATCTTGCTCTTGAGCAGTCCTGCAAGCTTGCGCTTCTCTGTGAAGCATTTTCTGGCATGGTCTTGGACTTGGGTATTGGTGCGGGTCAGGTTGCAGCTTTCTGTGTTCAGCTGGGAGCGATGCACGCTTTAGCCGTGGATGCCGGCAGCGAGATAACTTCTCCCGCGACTGATTTCGTGAAGCTGACGCGAATCAGGTCGACCTGAACTCACCCCCAGCAACGCTCACGTGATCCGGGCATCCTGCTCTACAATGCTGGGCCGCAGCACTCCCCGAAGAACTGAGACAGTGCAAAGTCAGACCTCATCCTAACTTGCATCGGACACCACTTGCCGTTGCTTTCACGGAGCCGTGACCCCCGGAATCCATTGTCTCCACTTCAGTTGAGAGGGGCTGGGGCCTGAGGTATCGTACCTGCGCCGTCGTGGGCTTGAGCAGTTTTAGCTGACTGAGCCGGCCCAAGAGGGAGCCAGCCCTGTCATTGTGGCGGGGAGCTGAAGTCGCGCCTTTCTCTCTGCAAGAAGCGCAAGATGCATGCAACCATGCATGCAACCATGCATGATTCCCGATGCGCAGATCTGCATGAAGACTCCTAGAGGTAGGAAGGCACTTGCAGGTACAAGTGACTGTAGTGTCAAGGCGGCCTGCAAGATCAGCAACCACAACGACGTCTCAAGCCGCGGCCACCCTCCCTGTCAGCCTGTCGGCAGGTTAAAGCTCCGCCGTCGGCCGTGACAAGAGCTGGCGGCCCAGTGCCAGGAACAGAGAGCCCTCAGAAGGCTCTGCTGATAGGAAACGTGTGACTTGCAGCCTGCTCCACACTAGCAGACTAGCAGCAGATCTGTGGCTTCTAGCTTCAACATGTTTCCATCCTTCGCCTTGGGGCAACTGCAGACGTGCAAGTGGGAGCCGCAAAGGACCGGGTATCCACCGGAGCCGTGCGCCCGAGCACTGCAGCGCGCTTCATGGCTGCCAGCTTCAGGCTCTGGATCGGATGGGGGACTGGACCTTCAAGGGATTGCAAAGCCAGCGGAGCTAAACAGAAGGAGACACCACCCCAACATCAGCTGTCGCAGGATGGGGCCAAGGCAGTATCCACTGCTCTTCCGAGACTGGGCCGCACGAACAGCGCTGAAAAGTCTTGTGTATCTGTACAGCTGGAACACCTATAGCCTGTCGGGCGACGTGGTGCCGCAACATGAAAGGCAACCAGGAATGGAATGCGAACCAGTCAGCTTGCATCCAGCAAAGCTGGTTCAGACTTACGCTGCATGTGCATCACTTATGGTACCGGTAGCATGGATACGAGCAGGTCGCGAACCCAGCATCCGGATCATGACCC